CAGCAGGAAGATGCTCAAACTCTGAACAGCCATTCATATCCATCAATACCAGCTTTTCACTCAGAATTTCGATATTCTTATGAACCAACACCAAGCTTTTGCAATCTACCAAGAGCAACTTCTCGAGATTCGGGAGATAAGAGAAGTCCGGAGTTTCTGTAAGGTAAATGGAATAACTTAGATCAAGATATTTCAGCTTCTTGAGCGGTTGAACCTGTAAAAGCATCGGAATCATTATGAAGAAACTGCAATATCAAGACGTGAAGAAGAAGAAGAAGAAGAAATTCATACACTTATACCTTTCGACCATCCAAGAATCGCCTCAGATTGCTGTATCTCATGTCCATGACAACTAAAGTACGTAGATAAAACTCCGAAGGGATGAATTCCAATGGGAATCCGTGCCAGCTAAGCCACCGCAAACCTTTCGGGAAATGCAGATAGCTTCCTTGTATTTGTACGTAACCGAGTTGTAACAATCTCAACTCCCGTAAATTTGAGAATGCTTCAGCATCCAAGTAACCTGCATCCAGATCTTGACATTTCAGGCTGAGCCCTTCAACGGATTCTGTTCCCTGTGATTAGAACAGCAAAAGTTTGGAACAGGTAGTTAGTGTTTCAGATCAAGGATGAGACCAAGAATGGACAGTGCATATAGTTTTTCTCACCGAATATTTTGTCAAGACGTCGATAACATCATCGGGATCCCACAGTCTGCTACGTTTTCCACGGGATTTGGGAGATTGTTCCCGGACAATTTCCCGTCCCATGTCTCGTATTAGATCATGCATTACCAGCTTGTTATCATAGACTGAAACGAGGCACCTCTCCATTAACACTCTCAATCCTATGTCGGGTGATAAACCGCATCCATCGAGTATATAAGTTACATAATCTTTGTCCATCCTGACGAAGAAGCAGGCAATGTCCAGGAATATATCTTTCTGTACGCCACTCAGTGCGTCGAAGCTGATCCGTAGTTTTCGCTGAATCTGATCATCGGGAATTCGTTTCAACATTTCCAACGTGCTTTCCCACTCGCGGGTCTTTCTGTCAAAGAGAAACGAGCCTAAGACTTCAGTGGCTAAGGGCAGTCCTCCGCAGTATTGAACAACGTTTTTCGATAGCAGAAGAAACTCGCCTGGAGGTTCGTTCATCCGAAAAGCATGCCAGCTGAATAGCTCGAGAGATTCACCATCGTTTAGTTTCTCGGGTAAATATACTTGGGTTACTCCAAGCTGCTTCAGTAAATGTTCATTCCTAGTTGTAACGATTATTCGGCTTCCTGGCCCGAACCAGCTGATATCTATGGCTACTGAATTAAGCTGGCTCAGATCTTCAGCATCGTCGATAATAACAAGTACCCTTTTGCGGCGGAACCTTTCCTTTACGGCTTGATCGATGCTGTTGAACTCTATGTCACGTCTCTTCAAGATATCGGAAAGAAGTTGTTTCTGCAGATGAATCTTCCCTTCGGGTTTCTTGGAACGTTCCCTGAAGTTTGCAAGAAAGCTCTTTCCTTCGAAGAGATGCGAGAATTCGTTATATGCAGCCTTGGCTATCGTTGTTTTACCGATCCCTCCCATCCCGTAGATTCCTACAACCCGGAGATCATCCGAACCGACGCTCAGTAGCTTATGAATATGACGGACCCGGGATCTAACACCGACGGGATATGGTGCTACGTGCAAGTAAGAATTATCCAACTTCTGCAGAATCTCTCTAGTTATATCCTTGATGCATTCTGCTTCATGCCTGCATTATACATCCACATTTTCTGTTATGTGAAGACATTTTTGATTCATAAGATCTTAGAAAGATTATTCCTTAAATCTTGTCAGGTCTAGAGGATTAAATGAACTAACCTGCCTCTCAAGTCCCACCCGGAAAAGCCGGCAACTTCCTCTAAAGCCGATCTCCAGCCCTGCACTTTGTGCAACGGGTGACGGCTTTCGTGTTTCGAAAACGATTCAGCGACTGCACCTTTCTGTCTGCGTATATCGGACGGGTCGATATCGTGAAAGATCGGGAAAACCAGTTGTCCGGAGTTACTCTTGCAGCATTTCGTGATGTGCAAGAGTTCGTCCAGGCACCAGACGGACGACGCGTAGTTCTTGGATAGAATGACGACGAGGATTTTAGACGCTTCGATGGATCGCAGCAGATTAGAGCCGATAGCTCCTCCTTTCGTCAGCTCTTCGTCATCCCTGAACGTGTATATACCGCTGTTTCTCAGGGCGGAGAAGAGATGGTCGGCGAATTTCGTGCGCGTATCTTTCCCGCAGAAGCTTAGAAACACGTCGTAGCTCCAGCCTTCGAGAATCCGTTCCTTGCATTCATCCATTCCCAGCCTTAGAGTTTCAAAAGTGAAACAAGTCTTGATTAGGACAGAACGTATCAAAGAAAACAATCTGAATTCACAATAAGATTCTTCCTGAAAGTCAATCCGATAGCACAGTCGCAGATTCTTGGTATGAATCAGACGAGATTCTTCGATCATGAAACAATTTTTCTGATGAATGGGTTTGCTAATATGAATCAAGGGTGATTAACTAGCAAGATGAAAATACGGCGACAAAGAGAAGAACAAATCAAATCTAAAGATCATCCAAGAAACAGAAGTAAAGATCAAGAACCACCTGGTCTCTTCCACGGTTACTGGAAAAGCGAGAGAGGGCAGATTCTTTGCTTCAATGTCTACTTCAGACGCAGGCCAAAATCGACGATCTCTTGTCTAAACTCAGACAACCCAGTTTTGACTAAACGCTGGTTCTAATGCGAATGATTTCTCCAATATAAAACCCTACGTGGGCAATTTTGCATTTTAATAACTGATAAAATATAGGAAGAAGAAATTAAATAAAAAAACAAACAAATGAAAACTTTCATTTCATGCATGCATCCTCTTACGACTAAAGAAAGTCAACCGTCGGTTTCACACTTGCGAAGACACTGCGATTGCATTTATAATTTCGTATTCTTGTATTTAAATATTGTATTAAATTAAATAAAATTTAAAAGTTTTCCCCACTTTTCTCACATATACATAGGAGAAAACGTATTCGAAGTCCCCTTCCAATTTCAATCCATCGGGTAAAAAGAACAAAGCTATAAAATTTAAATAAAAAGAGTTGAATAAACACAAAAATGTAAAAAAAAAATATTTCTAGATCTTAAAACAAGATTCAAATTTCAAAATATTTTTTAATGGAGCAAGATTAATGAATTGGGATTCAACCAATGGACGTTCTTTAAAAAAACGTTTATTGATATGATTAATGTATTGCATGATTTAGACAAATATTTATTAACAAAATAAAAAGAAAGAAAGGAAAGAACCATTTTGACTTCCTGGGTTTAGGTTAAACAAGGACCAATATATATATAGCGTTGCGTGCAAGTGGGCCTCCAAGTCTTTTGGGTCCATTTTTAAAAAAGAAATTGTAATCTTTTTAATTTTTTTAATAATTTAGTCATAGATTATTTTATAAAAAAAAATTAGTCATAGATTAAAATAATATCGAATTTGTAATGTTTTCGCAGAAAACAATTATTATAAAATCAATTCTATATATATATTTTAAATTGATTGAAAAATATATAATTTTAATAAAATGTTAATATGTGTATATATATATATGTAAATAAATAGTTTGCGCATGCCGTCCGTCACCAATGAAATAATATATGTCCACATACATTATTTGGAGCATAGAGAGAACAATAATAAACAAACAAACCACCCAAAACGACAACGTATCGTTAAATTAAGGTGGTGTTTGGTATATTGTTTTTTTTTTCTTTTTTGAAAATTTGGATTTAATAAGTTCTTTAGTCATTAAAAGTTGTTTTCTATAAAATTAAGATTGTGATAATTTAAAGATTTACTATTTTACAGCCAAATTTTCAAAAATAAATCGAATAATTTTTTATTTATTTTTTTAAAAAAGACTAGGGACAATTCATAATTTTTAACAAATACTTGGATACTCGGATATCTATCAGTGCAAACAAATATGTGTATTACTGTACATTATCCACACTCTATCCATGTTATTTGAATTCTCGATCTAGTAACTTTTGGATCACCTCTAATATTTATAATTAATGTCGTCAGAATATTGGTAATACTATATATAATCAGATTTATTGCTGTTGAAGTATTATGCCTGCATTTTAACAAAAAAAAAAAAAAAAGGTTATGCCCGCATCAGAATGCTCTAGCTCGGTTTGAGGCTTAGATTTAAACCGGTTGTGCAGTCAGTCTGTTGCAAACCGGATAAGAAACCGGAATGAGTTTTGAGGCCGGTATCAAAACGCGTCGTTTCATTAATAGGCCTCAGATCTTGGGTTGGAATTGGAACGGCACAGTTTTGGGCGAATGGTATAAAGGTCATTTTCTGCAGAAGAGCCGGTTGAAAACCGTTCCGGTTCACTAACCAGCGAACCAAATCCAGACTCTCCGAGAGAATTAGAGGATTCCTCTTCCTCCTGCCATAACCCAACAATATATATTATTTTATTCATAAAAAATCTTTAGACAAATGTAACTTAATAATTTCAATTTTGAAAATTTTCTGTTTACAATTTTGGACAACTTAGTCAACAAAATTCAATGGAATTTCGTTATGCATTCATTTGAATTCGACTGTGCATTTGTATAAAAGAATTAATCCAATATATTATTATTTTCTAAATTTTTTAGTCATGTTTTTTTTTCTTTCAATTCTTTCTCATTTGTCAGACATTTTTAAAATTTAATCTGTTGAAACTAGAATTTGCTTCTTCTGTGTACATCAATTTGGTGTTTATATTCAATTGTTAATTGTCAATCATCTCCCTAACAAAGTAATCACAGTTAGCACGTATTTATATAATAGAAAAAAAATAATAATCTATTGGCAATTATATCCCAATCAGTGAGAGTAAAAAATAAATTTATAAAAAAATAGAATTTATTATTTCTTTTTTATTTATGTTTAATTTCTTGTAACTTTTTTTAAAGATAATACATGAAAGAATACAAAATACATTAAACTAGCTTCGGTGGATATATATTTCGGAAAAGTCTTATATGGTTTATGTAGATTGTTAAACCGTATACTTGTCGTTATTCGTTATCATTATTGCAATGGTTTTTTACTCATAGATTCTTTGAGGTGTTCACGTGTAAGCTACGGAATTTTGTCTTACGTGCCCGTGAAATAATCTATATTAGTTTTAAAATAAATATTTGGTAAGCACATGCCATTACCAAGGAAATGCGAGAAAAAGAAATAGACATCACAAGGATTTGATAAAAAGTTTTAAATTCCAGAAAAAAAGTTAATAAATTCAAAACTTAAATTAAAAAACTCAGTTAATATTAAATAGAATCATTAATAAATATAGGTCCAATGTAAGACGTTTTGTAATAGACAAATAAAATAAATAAATTAAAGGGATGAAATACCATTTATATTTCATTAAAAATAAAAATACAAATTGAAATGTAGATAATATTATAAATTAGGAGAAAAAGACAAAAGATTGTGGCATGATGCGGATGGGATGCACGTCCGCTTTGTTAATTTCAACGACGGATCATGGGGAAATGAGAATCGGCTCCCATGTGATTTCTTTATATCTATTTTATTATTGTTTTTTTTTCTAAATATATTCTAGAAAGTTTGTGCGTATTTTATATCTTTAAAAGCATCCTAAGTTACGGAACAAAATAAATAAATACTCCCGAAGTTTTAACTTTTTCACAGTTTAAAAAAATGTAAAAAAATTATATATATCCATATTTAAATTTTTATTAATAGAATTGGATGATTTTAATTAAAGATAAATCTAAAAATTATTTTAAAAAATTATCTAAAAAATCTAAAATGACATCCATTAAATAACAAAATATATTGTAATAATGTTAACTATTAAAAAAATGGAGGGAATAATAAATTTACTAGCAGTAGTTTAATATATGTTGATATTATAGTTTTGAATCATGATTTTCATAGTTGGTAGATTCAAATTTAATTACTAGGCTAATAAGTTAAACAAAAATTGAATAATATTTTACAAAAAAAAACGCCGAATGGTGAGTTTATACACCAAAAATTACAAAACATCCCCGTGACAAAAGGAACCAAAATGCGGTTCTCACGTCAACAAGGCAAAAGCCGATACTCTCAATCATAACCATGTCCACGAAATATCAAGATCCGAGAAAACTGTGTACATGTCCGAACGTACGGAATACCGAATCTTCAAATGTTGAGTTTTTTTTTTAAATTCTACGTATCATAAAATATTCACCATAATATTAGAGTTTATGTTTATTATATTTTTATTTATGTGTTAGATTTCGTTCTTAGAATAAAATTCATATTTTTTTCCACGAATCTCGAATCTCTAATTCGGTCTCAATCTTTCAAAACAGATTTGATTTCAACTCGAACCAAAACCGATAAATGATTTTACACCGGTTATCTATTCCTACAAATTAGAGAAAACCGAAACCGATCGATGTCAAATGAAAATTGAAAATGTCGAGTTCTAATTCAAACGATATCTATACCTTTAAAAATACGCAGATTTAATTTAACCATGACACGTGTGATATATATGACCGAGTACGAGAAAGAGAGTTTCTAGAAATAATAACAGAAGAAACCCTAAAAAAAAAAAGAAGAAGCCGAATAATATTACATAGTTTACAACACATCGCCGAAGCAACTTCATCTGTAAACAACCAAACCAAACAAAACAAAACTCTGCAATAAATTATATCCCCCAAACCCCAAGCAAAAGCAATCGCCTTTCTCTCCCTCTCTTCATAAAAAAAAATCTCCCCTTTCTCCGCCATTTTCTCTCTCTTCAAATGGACTCAGCCTCGCCGTCGATACCGCCGCCTCCGCCTCCGCCGCCGCTGGAGCTGAATAACCTCCGAGCCCTGAGGGTCCTTGGACGAGGCGCCATGGGCACCGTATTCCTCGTGCACGACGTCGTTTCGGAACCATCTGCCAAATCTCTCTTCGCTCTCAAGGTCGTTGACAAGGCCGTCATTAATTCCAAGCTCGACGGTGATCGTCGAGCCCGGTGGGAGATCCGGGTCCTCAGGCGGATCTCCGGCGACCCGATTCATCATCATCATCCGAATCCGTTTCTTCCTCGCTTAATCGGAACCATTGAGACCCACGAGTTCCTCGCCTGGGCGACTCCGTACTGCCCCGGCGGCGATCTCAACGTCCTCCGTCGCCGTCAAATCGATGGCGTCTTCTCCTCCGCCGTCATTCGGTTCTACCTGGCGGAGATCATCTGCGCTCTCGAGCACATCCATTCAATGGGCATCGTCTACCGAGACCTGAAACCAGAGAATATCCTCGTACAAATGTCCGGTCATGTGATTCTCACCGATTTCGATCTCTCTCGTTGCTTGAGGAAAAAAACCCATATCAAACCCGAATCCACGAACCCGATTCCAAACCCTAATCGCAATCCGAGTCCGACGCGGGGACATCGCCGGAGTCTGACCCGTTGGCTCTCCCTGATTCCCTCCGACGGGAAATTATCCGGGTTGAAGAAAGCCAAATCCGCCCGAGTCAGCCCAGTGGGTCGACGCGTACCCAGTCTCGCCGCCGGCGAACGATCAAACTCGTTCGTCGGCACGGAGGAGTACGTGTCGCCGGAGGTCGTACGCGGAGAGGGCCACGAGTTCGCGGTTGATTGGTGGGCCCTCGGAGTTTTAGCCTACGAGATGATGTACGGAATGACGCCATTCAAGGGGAAGAATCGCAAGGAAACGTTTCGTAACGTGTTGCATAAACAGCCTGAGTTCGTCGGAGATCGGACGGAACTCATTGATTTAATCGGAAAGTTGTTAGCAAAGGAGCCGACGAAGAGGTTGGGGTATTACGGAGGCGCGAGCGAGATCAAGCAACACGTGTTCTTCAATGGAGTCAAGTGGGACCTGTTAATGGCGGGTTCACGGCCGCCATTTATTCCGTCCAGAGATGACGGAGATGCCGTTAACGGCGGTGGGATTGAAATAACGGAGTATTTCAAGAAACTGAAGTTGCCGCCGTCAGCTCCGTCATCCCCGGCGTCGGAAGGTTACCGGACAAAGATTTCGTTCGAAGAGTATTGATTTGAATAATTTAAATAATTACTATTAACATATAATGTTTAACCATTGTAGAGAAAACGTGAAAATTTGATTTTCACCGGGAAATATATATTAAGAGGGGCAAAAGCCAACGCGAGAGATGTAAGAGAATGGTGAGTACTGAGTATAATAATACAACAAAATTTTGATATTTTTGTGAAATATTTTAGTTATTATGATAACCAGGGTATATTTACTTGATATCAACCATTTATATTAATATATATGCTTACGTACAATCTAAATAATATATCCATAAACAGAGTGAAAATATTCCAAATCAAATAAAAAAAACAAGAAAAAAATCTATAATGTTTGTGCTTTCTTGAGCATTGTGGAAGAAATTGGATTTTGTAGTCCGCATAAATTCAAGCAGAGAATAATTTCAGCCCTCCGTCCTCTTACTTGCAACTCAAGTCATCGGATATTACACCAAACAAGAAAAGATTGGCTCCAAAAGTAAATTATTTTTCGGTGCCTTAACCGATTTTTATAAAAACTTACAGATATTCCGAATTGATAACCGAGACAAATGTATGATTCAAAGTTATTAGATTATATTTTTCGACGATTTCAACACGTTAGATTTAGACAATATCTATATTTTCGCCCTCAGAAATGTTTTGAACATTGGTTTAATTTCAAATCCAAATCGAGATATCTAGTTATTTCTGAAAAGAAAAATACCTGAAAAATTTTCTAAACTTGTAATTTGGTATATATTAATTTTTAAATTTATAGATGTACCTATTTATTTCCAAACTTGTATTTTTTAATACAGTAATTCCTAAACTTTCATTTTTTAACACAATAATTCATAAATTTTGCTTTGGTCAATTAGTGGTATGGACGATTATGAAACTGTTAAACAAGTTTATGAATTATTATGTCCAGAAATGCAAATTCAGAAATAAATATGTACACATATAAGTTCATAAATTAATATTAAACCAAATTAGAAGTTAAGGAATTTTCAGGTATTTTTCCCTTTCTGAAATCATTTTGTGCAGATTCATTTCTTTCTTTAGTTTATGTATATATTTATGTAAGCCAAAATAATCCAAATACATCTGGATATTGTTAGATCAAGTGCATAAAGAATTTCATTAAAAGATTCGATTAATAAACAAGGTATCAAATAGTAGATTTTTTAAATGTAAATTTAACTCAACAATGTAGTAAATAGCAGATTTTTTTTATAAATTTAACTCAACATATTAGAGATACATATATATCTCTAATATTCTCTAATACAACACTATAAATAAGAACATGATAACACAAGAAAATCACAAAATCAAATTAAACAAGAGGAAAAAAAACCCCTAAAAGATGATGAGTTTCGGACAAGGCTTGTTGCATGTAATACTCGTTTTAACGTTGTACGTTCATGCATGCACGTCGATGGATTGCCAATTAAACCCTTTGGATTCAAACGGAGTGGCACTGACCATAGCTGTCGGACACGAAGGGAAGTTCTCCAATATTCAACAAGCCATCGACTCCATCCCTTCGGGCAACGACAAATGGATTCGCATTTACATCACTTACGGCTCTTACAAGTAAGATTATTTTTTTTCATTTAATATATATTATCAGGTACACGATTTGTAACACATTTTTACAATTTTCTTCAAAATTTCGTTGTTAACTTCGACATGAAATTACTAATTAAATGCTAACGCTTTTCCCTCAATTTTTTTTTTCTATACTACTGTCTTTAACGTAATCTGGTTCACTTATTTTCTTTATTTTATTTTTATTAATATACCAACCTTGATAATTGAACATAACTTGATTCATCATTTAGATTTTTTATCACAAAAATATGTAGCAGCGTTTTACATATTATATATACTCGGTGTTAACACTTTTCGACCATTGACGTCTTTCCAAATATCTTTTTTTTTATATGGCTTTCCAAATATCTTTATTATAATGTAATTAATGAACGACTATATAACTAAATATAATAATTATCGGGTTGGGTTGAGCTAATTAAGCTAAATACGTAGAGCTGTATCGAAACATTTCTAGGTTTTCATATAGTTCCTAGGGTACGTTTTATGTCACAATTAATAATTACATGCGTAACTATATATAGGTGAGAAAGTGTTGATAATTAAGAAATTCATAATTAATTAATATAATGAAATGCAGGGAGAAAATTAAAATACCAAAGGATAAAGGATGCTTATATATGGAAGGAGAAAGTCAAGGGAATACACAGACAACAATATCGTGGGGAGACCATGACTCCACTGATCAAAGCTCTACTTTCACTGCCGTTCCCGACAATATTGTCCTAAAGAACCTTCGCGTCGAGGTATGAATTTTTATTAACCGTTTGATAAACTTTCACAAACATTAGGGACAAATATAATATAAAAAATGTAAGCTTTCGAATATTTTCATATAATTACACGGTCAATTCCGAAATTTCTACAAAAAAAATACATAAACTTTGTAATATTGTCATACATCTGCGTAAAATTTGCAAATATCTCAAAGCGGATGGATATGGGTTTATAGTAGTATTTACAAAATTCATACATCTTTATAAAAGTTTTAAAATTTGTGTATTTATACCTAACTTTAAGAAAAATTCATGTTTTTTAAACTATTGTCCATAGAATAAAAAAGAATTTACTTGGAATCTTTTGATTTTTTTTTTGAACATCACTGAGTTTCGAGCAATGTAATTACCGTAGAATTTTCGAAAAACATTTTTCTTGAATATCCATTGATTTACGTGCTTCTTGTAATGGATAGAATACGTACGGCTTATATTCAAAAGAGCCATTAAAACAAGCTGTAGCAGTGAGATTGCTTGGAGACAAATACGCAATAGTCAACTGTTCGTTCATAGGGTTGCAAGACACCCTTTGGGATGGCTCTGGGAGGCACTACTTCAAGGGCTCTTACATTTCCGGTGTCGTCGATTTCATATGGGGTTCCGGTCAGTCCATATACGAGGTATAATCTGTTATACATATAAAACAAACGTGTACGTGTTATAACATCATACATATATTATAATTCTCTGGTCATTTCGCGACAGGATTGCACGCTGAACGTGGATCTGAAATCGTCATATCCGCCGAGAACGGAGGGGGTCATAGTGGCACAAGGGCGAGAATCGGAGAGCGAAGGAGACGGGTTCGTGTTCAAATGGTGCAAAATAACGGGCGGCCCGACGATGCTGGGGAGAGGATACAGACCCTATTCTCGAGTCATTTTCTACCAATGCCATTTCCCTAACACCATCCTTCCTCAAGGCTGGGACGCTTGGACCGGCCAAGGAAATGAGTAAGGATTTACATTACAACACATTCAACAATGTGTACATACTCACTAGATGGTCGTAAGTAACCAAAGCCATTTCAAAATCTTGAGTTCGATTCCACTATTGGAGAAGATGATGCATAATTAATTGATTCGATTGACTAAAAGATTTTAGATCCAAGCGATTAAGTGGGTCGAAGGTTCGCAAGCCAAATCGTTTTTATCAAAATGAGTTGAAAAAATATGAGACAAAAAAAGGGTCTGATCGATAAGCCAACTCTTCACAGGACAACCAGTTCACGATCTATAATTTTTTTTTAAAAATTAGTATTTTTATTATTTTATTATTCTTAATATTTTTATAATTATTTTATTAATTTTCTATATTTTATTTTTATTCTATTTTTTTATCTGATTCATGAACTGAAACGATTTTGACTGAGTCGGAATTTTTCTAACTCGTTAAGGCATATTAAACTGAAAAAACAGGTTGATTCAGACGGATCCGGGTTAGGCCGGGAGCCGAACCAACCCGTTCTACAACCCTAATATTCTCCATGACTTTTGAGAGTTGAAAAAAAAAACTTTTTTTCCTTGTTTGGATTTCAAGGCATAAATTGACGTTCGTGGAAGCGGATAACAACGGGCCGGGAGCGGACTTGTCAAAGAGAGTGCCGTGGCTGAAGAAAATGAGTGCGGAGGAACTCTCCAAGTTCACCGATCTTTCCTACATCAATTCTGATGGTTGGATGGCTAAATTACCTCCCAATTACCTCAAGTGGTAACTCCTTTTTTACGGTGGGGATTTGTAACAGTTATTGGCCTTTTTACATTCGTACTTTCCAGATCTAAGATCTCGAATAGTGGGTAGAAAAATCCCATAAATACTGTGAAAAAACTAGTTCATGTACCGTTTGCTTGACAAATAAACTCTTGAATTGAAAAAAAAAAAGTTTCATTAGAAACTTCGAACTTTTTTTTTTTTTAAAGTGATCGCTTTAACTGTTGAGCAATCGTTGATTTTAATTCTGTTCAGTGATATTTTACGTGGTCGTTTACGATATCATGCCCTTTTCCACATCTGCGATTTTTTAAAAATGAAAAATTACAATATATACATATAGACACAGATATATAAATACATATGCATACACACATATATATGCATATATACGTATATAGATACATATACACAAATACGGACATATACATACACTCGTGTATATAGATGTATGTATGTATATATATATATATATATATATGCAAATATTTTTTGAAATCTTCCTTTAAAAAAAAAAAAGAATTGCTGATATGGCAAATAAGATTTACCCTTGAATAGTCTGATAATTTATTTTAAAAACAGTCTAATAACTTTTACTCCAATTTCGAAACCGGGAAAATATATTTATAAAAAAATTAACAGAATATTAAAAGAATTGAAAATGGTTTTTACCCATTACGAGAAGGTGGGCATGCATGGCATAATGACCATGCAAAGTACAATCCCATTTAGCATGACTTTTACAAAATTGGTCCAAATTATTTTCTTGGTTCTTCTATCCGAAAATGCCAAAAATGCTCTAATATGTATTATTCTCATAATTTTCTTTTCAAATCACATTATATTATATATGAGCAAAATGCTAAAAATGTTGCGAGTAAAATTCTCTTTGACAAGTAAAAGCATTCCACGAAAATATGTCATTTTGTTTTAAGCAATGAACCATACGTCACCATAACATTCATTAGCTTTACTTAAACGGAATATACATATCGAATTATCACATAGAAATATCCCAACCGATATCAAAAAATCCAAAATATCCCCTTTGTCTTAATCTTGATGTCACGAAGATTTACTCAAAACGTGACACATGACAAGTACATATAACCAAGTGGACATCGCTTCACATGTATTAGTGAACCATTGCAGAAACATATATATATATATATATATATATATATATATATGTCTGTATTTATCTGTGTGTATATATATATCATGCTCATTTATTATGAACTTTCTCCATTATTATCATTCCTCTAATTATCTAGTGGGGATTTTAAGGGTAACTAAGAATGTTATAAAGCAAAAAAAAAATAATCCTAATTTATTCTGTTTTCACGAAATAATGCCCAATTTCTTACATTTATTTATAAAGATGATATAAGATTTGTCTTCCATTTCTTCTATTTTTTTTATCCATATAATAATGTAATTTTAAGAATATACGAAAAATCATAAAATCGTTTTTATATTAGAATAACATATAAAAAGGTCTTTGGGATTAATAAATCCCACAACTTTTCGTAACAAGTCTGAAATGTATAACTAGTTGACAACAAAATAAAAATTTCATAAATCGTTTTGATTAAGAAAAAATGCCACCCGATGCACCCACGTTGTATTTTTTCTGTGCGTTTTCGTTTTTGAAATTAAAAAATGGTTTAAATCCAGAGATGAAAGATATATCGAAACAAAACCTGGATAATCCTATTATATTTAAATATTTTATTTTTTATTTCTCGTGACAAAAGGAGAAGCAAATGGAAAGTTGCTTTATTGATTTTAAAATGAGACAAAATAGTTTGTTGCTGAGTTAAATGTCTTGAATCCCTACTTGCCTTTAAAGTTGTCTAAAGCCTCACCACCCAAATTTAATTCGATGTAACGGATTGTATCTGGTTACATATGTTAAATGTTATACGTATAACCTATGGTACACATATTGTGGAATAATACATTATTCTCAAAATCTTACATACACCATTGTTTGTTTTTTTTTTCTTTGTATGAAAATATATTTTATGTAATGTAAATCTTGTAATTTATTTTCTCTGTGAAGTTTTTAGATTCCTTTCAATTCTTGAATGTTTAATTACTTGTTTTACTCCTCTCTCTCTCTCTCTCTCTATGTGTGTGTGTATATATATATACACACATCTTTTATTTTTAGTGTTTAATCTAATATTTAAGACTTATTTTCATATAGTAACCATGAATATTATGAATCACCTCCCAAAATGGGTTTACAGACATTGTAAAAAAAATGTGCATGAAAAAATAAACTTATCTCCGTAAATACATTTTCTTCAATTTCATTAAGTGAAAAAAAAAAGAAATTTGCTGCTAATCTATTGAATAATATGTACAGATTGAGTATAAATTAAATTGGCATAGATGGTAATGTATGCCAAAAGGGTTAACCCTACTCCCTATTACAATAAAAGATAATCATAATTCAAAAGTATGAATTTAGGGTTGAAGAATTAGTGAATTTAATCTATAGTTTGGGATATTATGTCGAGATAAAACTTCTTTCAATAAAATCATAAGAAAAAGTTTTCATTTTTATATGTATTATGGTTTATTATACGAGGAATATAATAATTCAATAACTGTCAATTCATATACAAGTTGTTGACAACTCGATATGCCAGTTTTGGTTGTTCAAGTAACAGGATGGTCCAAAACGATATTTCGCTTGCCCATAAATATTGTGACCACACCTCAAGAATGATATTTAATTCTTTTTAATCATCATGAAATAATTTTTGTATTCGTCCTCTTCTTTGTTCCCCTAAACACAATAATTATTTAAATAATTATTAGTTTCTCTTAAAAAAAAATTTGTATTGAAGTTTTAATTATTAATTTCACTTTAGGTTTTCTTTTTCTCATTGAAGTTTTGAATGGCAGTAACAGATGGTGGGAGACTGGGTTTTAAGTATTGGTTGACAAAATATGAATATAATTCCTAATTATATTAAATTGATATCCTGGAAACCTATGATAAATTTGAGAATTTGAAACATACAAATTATATTAAATCAATTGATGCACGAAAAAAATATTAACAGATATATCGTACCCAACTTACAACATTATTTATAATTTTACATAACAAAAACAACACACATATCAACTAAATAATGTATTCAAGATGTTGAATTTATAAATAAATTTATTCTTACATATGTAATTTTTTTTTCATGTTTTATATTTATAATTCGAAAAAATAGTCAGATAATTTTATACCAACATCGAGAAAAAGTATCATCATTTCCAAAATATTATTAATTAAGTTTTTTAGTTTGTTTATTAATTTTATATTGGATTAGGCTTCGTAATCCGTATATGTATTTCATATATGTTGCCAATTTGAAGTTTACAAGAAAGAATGTAGAAAGTGGAACGAATGACATGACAAAGGCATGGAATTGAGATTTCCTAGTTTCTTCATCTTGCTTGCAAACGAATATTTCTTTTTTTTGTTATTATTTTTCATTTTGTGATTTGAAAAAATTATTAAATTGTTCATAAGAAAAACAAATATAGGAATCTATTATCCATCAAATAAAACTGCAAATTTTATGGTCTTTATTTCTAAAATTTTATTTAATTACAATTGTATTAACTGTTTTTATGTAAGATGAAAAAATACTAAAATTTCACAGGTATTATATTTAATTACAATTATATAAACTACTTTTTGATACTGGAAAATAAAAATACTAATATTTTACGGAAATTGTATTGTAAAATATCATTAAACTATAAAAGTTAATATAAAAATGATTGAATTTATTTTATAATTAATATTTAAATCGGGTATTTATACTGTTATTTATTTATTTATTTTTCGGAGTCCCGTGCTGAAACAGAGCAACAGACATGGCGAGCTTTCCCCCCCTTTCTGTTCGCATTTGTACGCACAGATTCTTTTCGATAAAGTTCATCCGCATAAAGAAATTCTATACGGAATTTTATTTCGTCTTCTACATTTTCCCCTTCCCCCTCTGTTTGTTTCCCGAGAAAATAAAAAACAGAACTCACCCATCTCTCGGAATTTCCACCAAATTTAACCTCGTTGGCGAGTCAATAACTTCCATGGAAAGTGACAAAGTATCCGTGATCCTTTTCCGCCTGTATTATGGTCAATATCCCTCAGTACTTTATCTTCGGAATTTTCTATCTTTTTGCTGAAACCAATTTTATCTCGATTTAGCTTTCACGTGATGTTAATTTTTTTGTGTGGTAGAGACGTTGCTTAATTTCTCGGACTCTGTTGCTTTTCCACGCCTATATATACAGAGCTGCTCACATGCGTTTGTTCTATTAATCCTCTTTTCACATATACAGCGCTCTTGTGACTGTGACCGAGGCTTTGCTGTCTTGAATCGTGTGATTGTTTCTGGGTTTGGCTTTGATTGAGTTTCCATTCGAATCATTATTTCTTTTGTTTTTTCCCCCCGTTTTGGTTCTGCAATCAATTTCTGGGTTAAGGGTTTTGCTGTGGGTTCTTGTGGGTTTCATTCGAATTGCGTGGAATCTGAATCTGGGTTTGGTAATTGAGGTTTATGTTCTGGGTTTCTGTTAAAAATTTCAAGTGGGTATGGTTTAAAATCTGACTTTGGACATTGTTGTTCTTAGATTCTTGAATTTGGGAAAACTTGGTATAACTTTTGTCCTAAGAAAAGATAGAAAAATAAATATGAACAGGCTGTTGGCTATTGCATTGGCTGTTCTGTTGTTCATATGCCATGCTGCTGTGGCAAAAGAGTGCACTAACATTCCTACGCAGCTCTCGTCTCATAGTTTCCGCTACGAGCTATTGAATTCGAACAACGAAACGCTGAAGAAAGAGGTGTTTGCTCATTATCATTTGACTCCAACCGATGAAACCGCTTGGGCCAGTTTGCTGCCAAGAAAGATGTTGAAAGAAGATGACGATGATGAATTTGGTTGGAATGTGATGTATAAAAACATCAAGAACCCGGGAAGGTTCGGCACGGGAAATTTCCTCAAGGAAGTTTCTCTTCACGATGTTAGGTTGGACCCGGATTCAATCCATTGGAGGGCACAGCAGACAAATCTTGAGTATCTCTTGATGTTGGACATTGATAATTTGGTCTGGAACTTTAGAAAGACTGCTGGTCTTGATGCTCCTGGTGCGTCCTATACAGGATGGGAAAGTCCCAACAGTGAGCTCCGTGGACATTTCATCGGTACAAGCTTCTTACCCTTTTGATTTCATATACCTTTCAATGCTATTCATAAATTTATTTCAGAATTCTGGTAGTAGGCAAAAAATGTGAGGAATTTGATTGCATAAGCTGTTAAAGAAATGAAACTAACTGATCTTTTGGGACATTGAAGGTCACTACTTGAGTGCAACAGCTCATATGTGGGCGAGCACTCACAACGATACTCTCAAGCAGAAAATGACGTCTCTCGTCTCTGCTCTGTCGGAGTGCCAACAGAAAATCGGCACAGGATATCTGTCAGCTTTTCCTAATGAGTTTTTCGACCGGTTCGAAGCTATACGGCCCGTCTGGGCTCCCTACTATACAATTCACAAGGTGAAACCCGATTCACTACAGTCAAGCAAGATGGTGTTAGATAACAAACATGTGTGTGCTTGCAAAGGTTTCAACTTTGTCTGAATTGTGGCAGATCTTAGCCGGTCTGGTGGATCAATACAAGTTTGCCGGCAGCAGTCAAGCTCTGAAAATGGCTACCTGGATGGCAGATTACTTCTATGATCGTGTTCGTAACGTTATAAAGAAGTACACTGTTGAACGACACTGGACATCGCTGAATGAGGAGACTGGTGGAATGAACGATATTCTTTATCAGCTATTCCAAATCACTGTGGGTGAAAATCTCTCGAATTGTTCAACCCGAAATTCGTCTCTTGGTGTTCATATGATAATATCGATATTCATTGGACTCTGAGCAGGGAGACTCCAAGTACTTGTTGCTTGCCCACCTCTTTGACAAGCCTTGCTTTCTCGGTCTGCTCGCTATCCAGGTAGTTTACCTGATTGTACATGCCTGACTGCTTTGTTTGAATGGTCGAATACACATAATTGTTTTCGGGTATTGCTTGTAGGCTGATGATATATCTAACTTCCATGCAAACACGCATATTCCTATTGTAATCGGATCCCAACTTCGGTATGAAATCACTGGTGATCCACTATATAAGGTATTGGATCCTTTTCAGACATACTGGTTGGATGCAGTTTTGGTTAAAGATGTCGTTTCTCGTTAATCTGAATTATGGGTTTTTCAGGAAATATCGACGTTTTTTATGGAAACTGTCAACTCTTCTCACAGTTACGCAACCGGAGGGACATCAGTCTCTGAGTTCTGGTACTAACATTAGAAAAAACTTGGAAGTTTACTTCAAGCGAACAAGCTTCTGTTGTTCTTATATCGTAAAAATGCTTCACGAAATGTAGGAAGGATCCACAGAGACTAGCAGACACGCTGCAAACCGAAAACGAGGAATCATGTACAACTTATAACATGCTCAAGGTAATATATATATATATATATATATATATATATAATACATGTCATTTCCCAGTTTCATGCTCCATATAAAAGTTGTGGAAACGCCCAAATCTTTTCCGATATAAATTTCCCGCTTTGATGATTCACATGAAAGTTGCAGAAAAGATCGAATTTTGTGATATTTTTCTTTCTCCAGGTCTCTCGGAATCTATTCAGGTGGACAAGAGAAGTGGTTTATGCAGATTATTATGAGCGTGCTTTTACAAATGGCGTCCTTGGAATTCAACGAGGAACAGAACCAGGGATCATGATCTATATGCTCCCGTTGGGTCACGGTGTTTCAAAGGCCGTGACTGGGCATGGTTGGGGAACTCAGTACACATCTTTCTGGTGTTGCTATGGCACTGGTATTGTTTTCCCCACGAAATTATCCGATATTCTCCCCTTTTTTTGTGGCAAATCTGATCATTCTTGATCCGTTCTACAGGAATTGAATCATTCTCAAAACTAGGAGATTCCATTTATTTTGAAGAAGAGGGAGGAAATCATGGTCTTTATGTCATCCAATACATACCGAGCTCACTCACATGGAAATCCGTCGGTCTTTCGCTAACTCAGAAAGTTAAACCAGTCGTCTCGTGGGACCCGTATCTTCACGTGACGTTCACGTTCACTTCCAAGGAGGTAACTTCAGCAGAATCAACGATCGGATCATTCACTGTGCTTCTGTAAAATTTCTGTTTCTGTTATATTCTGTGGCAGGAGACAGGCAAAAAATCGACTCTGAATTTAAGAATTCCGGTTTGGGCAAACTCTGATGGTGCCAAAGCTTCTTGGAATGGGCAGCCTCTGAAAGTACCAGCTCCAGGTTATTGAACATTCTGTTCTTTACTTTCTGTTTCCAGCAACTGGTTCCTCTTTCAATGATATGATCTAAAACCCGTTAAGAACCACTAATTTCTCCCGATTATTATATTCGAAATCGGGTTCTTACGAGATTAGAGTCTTCTGACATACCTTTCTTTTTCAGGAAATTTCCTATCGATCACACAAAACTGGAAATCCGGCGATCAAATAAGCATGGACTTACCATTGAGTATAAGAACTGAAACTATAAAAGGTAAGCACTATTCCAATGTCAAATACCTTGTTCTTTTTCCTTCTGTAATAAGTAAGTAAATCATTGCCAATACTTCCCTTTTGTGGGTATTTCAGATGACCGGCCTGAGTACTCGTCTCTTCAGGCCATACTTTATGGGCCCTACTTGCTCGCCGGCCACACAACCAGAGTCTGGAGCTACAAAACTCGGGCAAAAGCCGAGAAATGGATAACTCCAATCCCGTTTTCTCAAAACAAGAACCTTGTGACCTTCTCACAACAATCTGGTCAATCCAGCTTCGTGTTGGCAAACACCGAACAAACCATCACGCTGCAAGAATCGCCCGAGCCAGGGACACAAGAAGCGGTTCAAGCCACTTTCAGGATCGTGAACTCTGAACCCCTTTCCCGTGGAAAGCTCTCGGGTCCAGAGGAACTGATCGGGAAACGAGTCATGCTCGAACCGTTTGATTTCCCGGGCATGCTCGTGACGCAAGCAAGAAACAGTACCAACCTCGTGGTCCGAGACTCTTCCTCTTCAGACAAGGAAGCTTCCATTTTCCGGCTGGTCCCTGGAGTGGATGGGAAGGAAGGAACTGTCTCGTTGGCGTTAGAGGGCAAGAAAGGTTGCTTTGTTTACACGGATACAAACCCGAAAAAGGGCACGGAACTGAAGCTTGAATGCGATTCCGATACGTCTGACGAGAAATTCAACCAGGCTGCGAGTTTTACGATGAACAAAGGGATCGCTCAGTACCATCCGATGAGTTTCGTGATGAATGGAGACGAGAGGAACTTTGTGTTGTCGCCATTGTTGAAGTTTAGAGATGAGTTTTACAATGTGTACTTCGATGTGCAAACTTGAAGTACAACTGATGGTCTGTGTTGGGAGCGAAATAAGGCATTGATTTGGCTTCTAGTGTTTGTGTTACGAGTTAGTGTTTTTTTTCCTCTTTTTCATGTCTTATTATGTATTGCAGTTGTAATAATATATATTCAAATGCATTTGAAATGATGTTGGGAAATTTATTGGTTTTTATTTTTATTTTATAAAAAATAAATTATTATTCAGTAAAAGCGTTTCAATTAATAGTACAGTATTTTTGTTTTTAAAAAAAAGTACAGTAACATTTATCCAAACCAATATATAGAAGAAAACAAAAACATAACACGATAAATCTCGGCTTTCCCGATGATCTCAACGGCTAGTTACATGATAATATATAAAAATACAAATATAAAAAAGTAAAATTTAATAGTTTTTTAAATAATTTATTTCCCACAAGCCTTCAACGGCTTCCCGCAGAGACAATCATTGTACTGAAACGACGCCGCTTCCAGACGTTCGAACGGGGGTCCCGCCGGAATCTTCCCGCATAAATGGTTATGGCTCAGATCCAAGTGTCCGACGTACGATGCCGCCGTCAAACTCGTCGGAATCTCTCCCCGGAGGCCATTATACGACAGATCCAACACCGTGAAGTACGATCTCGGCCCGAACACGTTCGGGATTTTCCCGGTGAGAAGATTCCTGCTCAGATTCAGATTCGACACCGATGACGTCATCAGACTCGCCGGAATCTCGCCGGAGAATTGGTTTCCGTCGAGGTTTAGGGTTCCGAGCACCGCCATTTTGCCCAGAGACGCCGGGATTTCGCCGGAGAGACTGTTCGTAGAGAGATCCAGATCCGCGAGACGGTAAATTCGTGTCACGGATTCGGGTATCTGACCCGAGATTTTGTTTCCGGCGAGAAGAGCACGAGATAGCATCTTCAAGAGGCCGATATCCCGCGGGATTTCTCCCGAGATTTTGTTGTTTCTTATATCTAAGTGCATCAGACCCGATAATCTCGTGAGTGATTCCGGGATCCGACCCGAGATCTGGTTGTCGGCGAGGTTCAGCACCGACAACCTCTGCAACTGTCCGATCCTCTCCGGAATCGGGCCGTAGATTCTGTTACCAACGACATCGAGGATTCTTAAGAAAGGGAGATTCGCCACGCAGCTGGGAATCTCGCCGGAGATCCCTTTCCAGTCGGCGAGTATGATGCCGGAGAGACGGGTCAGCTTGCAAATAGCCGGCGATATGGTTCCGGTCATGAAACCGGTCCGGCGAGCTCGTTGGAAGATTGGATCTTCGGATTCTCCCCGGAGAGTTATGTCGGCTACCCGGTGGGATACCGGGTCGCAGCTGACTCCGTACCATCCATGGCAGCAATCTGAGCCTTTCCACGTGTTGAAAACTCCGATGTACGGCTCATGGAGAGCGGACCGGAAAGCTAGCAGTGCCGCTCTGTCTGAAGCCGGACAACCTGAGACCACTGCGGTTCCACCGCCGCCGGCGAGGAGCAAGATGACGACGTAGCTAAGCAGAACCAGAATCTTCTTCCTACCCATATCACTGTTGTCTTCTTCTTCCTCTTCTTCTTCTAATTCCTCTCTCTATAGATATATGTGTATCGATTTGAGAAAGTGTAAGTATCGCTATGTATAAGGATCATTTATGTGATGGACTTGAAGCACGTTGGCATGGAAGATGAGACCTCACTGCGGTGCTGAATTTATAGATGCGAGTGCAAAAGGATGAAACACCACATTATGACTAACATGCTTTGTGTAAAATGACCTTTATGCCCGCTGTGTGTTTCCTTGAACGTTCATATTTACACGTCACATTATTTGCATGGCTTTCTCCTCGTTCCTCGTGTCCAACTATGTCCGCAAGGCATTTCATTAGTTTATAGACTTTTGGATATTTCTTTCCTCCATGTATTTTTTTTAAATCCTTTGATTTTTTTTTTGTAATATTTGGCCCAATACGTTTGAATCTGAATTGATTGGGAGCATTTTGTGCTATTTAACTATCACACCACCCCATTTCGATTTAAACCCTTGATCTTTCAATATAAATTACGTAAAACTTGATCTTTCAATATAAACTACGTAAAAATCTAATGATTATAATTTTTTTATAACCGAAATATCAAACCCGAATATAACCAAATCAAATTCGAATGGAAACTCGAAATGGAAATGGAAATGTTTTCTTTTGTAAATGAGAACACCATTTTTTTTTTCATAAAACCATCGTGTTTGATCGGTTTACCGTTCTTGGTTTTATTTTATAATTCCGTTGTGACTTAAAAATCCACTATCTGGACTTCTTTTAATTAGATTTTTTTTTGTTAATGTTAATTAGAGTTTTTGGTGTTATCACCTCACTACTACGATTCTTTGGGAGTCGGGTTTCGGACATCACAGATTCATAGGTTCGAATACAAATATTTTAATTGTTATTATTTTTAAAATTGAGATATTTCAACCATCGTTTAATATTTTTCTATTATAATAAAAATTGATAATATTTTAATAATTTATATTTACATATATAAGTTATAGATATTTTGTATTTATATGATAGAAGAAATTTCATATTTATTTGAGGCAATGAGTAATTAATAATAGCAAAATTAGAAAAAAAAAATCTAAATTTCTCAATTTTAGAAAATTAATATCTATATCTTTTTTTTTATCTCGAATAAAATTAAATTTTATATGACCGTGTATTTTTCAATAAGGGTGGGCACGGATCGGATATCCGGGATTTTTGAGATATCCGTATCCGTATCCGATCCGCACAAATATTCGATTTTGTTATCCGTATCCGATCCGTAATTTTCGGATATTTTCAATTTCGGATATTCGTAAAAATTCCGGATATTTGCGGATATCCGTATTCGACCTAAAATATTATAAAATTTTAAATTTAAATTAAATAATAAATTCAAATGTAAATAAAATATATAATCTATTTAAGATAAATGATATTCACAAATTTAAAATTCATAATTTAAACATTCCAAATCAACTCAAATACAAATACAATTATAATTTATCACATACAAATATATTCAAAATTCAAATTTCAAAACATTAAACATAATAAATCTTAATATTCAAAAGATTAAAATTATAAACCTCAATATATATAAAATTTTTTTTGAATCACCCTTAAAAACGTATAAATATTAATCATTTTAAATCTCCATATGAAATTATTCTTATATTTAATAATATTATTACAAAATACGGATCGGATCGGATATGTCGGATAATTCAATTTTAATATTCGTATCCGATCCGTATCCGACAAATATCTCTAAAGAAATATCCGTATCCGATCCGTAAACTCCGGATATCCGAATTTTCGGTTCGGATACGAATCGAATAACGGATCGGTTCGGATTTTTCGGATATTTTGCCCACCCCTATTTTTCAACCTAACCTAAGTGCCCACATGACATCATCTCATAGACATCAAATCAAATCTTTTGTTTGAAACACTATATCACGTCAATAATAGTGACATGTCATCATTTTTTAAATTAATTTTTTTATTTTTAAAAATATAAATAAAAAATAAAAAATAATATATATATATATAAAACAATACACATACACATATATATACAATACATATACACATATACATATGTGTAATCATTACATAATACATACATATATATATATATATCTAAAAATTTTAGATATCCCAGAATATGTGAAGCAGATCAAATAATAAAATTCATTATCCCATAGACAACTAATTAAAATAAGAAATATATCCGTACATGTTCAGTAAATGTTTCCTAACCTCAGAACCCAAAAATGTGGATTTGGAGTCATGTATCCCAATATGTCAGATACCCCATCTCTGACTAATTGAGACCTATCATGATTTTTTTTTTAAAAAAAAATAAGACCCATGAAACAGGGATGAGGTTGCGCGCGGTCTTTCAATTCTCAACAAAGAAAAAATGTTTTGCTTTGTTTTATTTTATCATAATGTATAACCTACGAAAGTATGATGTCGCAACACTTCCTACATGGAACATGAATAATAATGATAATAGATGTTTATCTTAATATATTTGTGTTTATTAGATATATATTCTGCATTATATTTTCCATTTGCTAACCCCATAACCTTATTTTTATGGTTCTGCGGAATCTGACAACTTAGGTGCGATCATAAATGTTGGGTCAGTCAAAAGACATGAAATAGACAATAGCGCACTTATTTCCTCTTATTACTCGATTCAAACAAAATCATGTGGCACATGTGCAGGGCCGCCTGTTAGCACTTGGCAGAAACGGGTAGAGAAATAGGCCCCATGGGCCCCACTTTTTTCAAAAATAATTGTTTATCATTAATTATTGATAATTATAAAATTATACATTATTAAAGAAATAAATAAATATAGAATTATAAAAATTAATTACATTTTAAATTTTATAATATATCAATAATAAATTAATAATTTTATTTTAAAAAGAAAATATCAGTTATATTTATAATAAAAACTCTAAATTTATGATTTTTCAAAAATAATAATTATTATCATTAATGCATAAAAATATTAATAATAATTATTAATGGATTTATTATATAAATTTATAATTTTTATATTATTAAATAATTTTGAATAATAAAAATATTTTTTTAATTAAGTTGTATGAAATAAACGGAGCTCCGAAAAAGTTTGAGACGGGCTCTGCACATGTGCATTCTGTCAAAGGACCACCTTCCGACGAATAGATACACATACATATATGCATGCCCTTGCATATAGATACACGTAACATACCTACAATGTCCCGTAACATATCGTGACGGATTTTCAACTTGAAAACTGAATCAACAAATCATATATCCAAAATTACGATAAAAAACAAGGAAAAATCGATTTACGTTGAAATGTTTTGTTTTGGACAGTCAATTATAAAAAAACGAATAAAATACAAATTCAAAATACTAAAATATATGATTCTTATAATAGATAGGGACCGGGTCCATCAAAATATACTAAATATGTGAAGATTCTGATACCATTTAATTGACAATGCAATCTCACACAGCGAAACATGGAAACATTATTCTATTACTATAGATTATTAGCCTAAATGATGGGAGATTTCTCCCTTTTTTTTCTTGTAATTATTTCTATTAAAAATACTAATAATTATAGAAGTCAGTCAAAGTGGAGGAAGTATCCAGGGGAGGGGAGTCAACAACAGAAGACTTCATAATATATATACAAAAAAAAAACAAGAAGAGAGTGCATTTCTGCCAAAAGAGGAACAAGCCACAGAACAAGGAGACCGAACACACAAGCTGTTTCTTAGCAAATGTTGCTTACCTTTGTCTCATACCTTGTCTTGCAGTTGAAACAAACGTGGTCGGAATTATGGAGAAGGATTGCCCGAGTGGATATTCGTAGGCCGAACGTTCTGAAACTCGGCCGGGATGACGTTCTGGAACACAGAGGGGATCGTGTTGTGGAACTGCCCCGGGATTACGACCTGCAACGGTCTTGGAGAAGCCTGTGATGGTACCGACCACAAAACAGTTAAACCCAGATGGCTTTGATCAAATCATTGTCTAGAGAGGATGCAAATACCTAATCTTATTCCGCTCTGCTCCTAAACTATTCTCAAGGATCGAATTGGTAAAAACCGAGACTTGATAAATGAGCGAGTGTAAAACCAATTGGCGAAATTTAACAGTGACAAACCAATTTCCATTCCAAAATCTCATGCCAATGGAGTCTAAGTAAGAATGGATATACAGACCAACTGCTGAAACCCTTCTTGGCTTCCGGCACCAACAGCTCCACATTGAGGCACATGCTGCACAAATGGGCAAGAAACCTGAATATCGGCAAACTGGTTAAAATGCAATGTCTAGCCTAGTTATTAAAGCTAGTGAGCTGTGACTGAAAGTCACTTGACCCGATCTGTCATTTCAAACCAGTTTCGTAGTTCATATAGAACAAACATGGAAAATTAATTGATGCGGGGATTATAATGTTGTAATGAAAAATGACAGCTAACTGACCTTTGCTTTTTTCAGTACATTGCTTTGGCTACCTTTCTTCTCCCTTCTGGTTTCAGCACTGCTCATGTTGTTTGGTTTGGGGTCTGTTGCTTTCTCTTTTGATGCAGAGCCACGTTCATTTTCTTCTTGGACAGGATACCCAGCTTGAATTGTTGGTTCTCCAGATCTTGTCTGGTCTTCGATGTTATTGGTTTTTATAGCACACTGTCTAAGACCTTCTTTAATGGCAAGCAGGGCAAGATCATAGCTCTCTTGTGAAAGAGAGCCTTCTTCACCGAGTATAATGGCTCGGCGGCATAAATCGTTAAAACGACGGATATTAGACTGCACCTCATCAAGATTTTCACTGATCCCGTGACGGAATTTAGCTGCATTCGTCCATCTTTGCAACACATAGTTTGTCGGAATGCTAAAAACACCCGACATCTGGAGAACCACAATAGCGTGCCTACAAAGATAACCCTTGTACTCGAAAGAACGGCAGGAACAGAGTATATCCGATCTTGATTCATTCCATTCTACCAAATATTTCTGATCGTCTTCAAAGTCCTTCACACTGTAAGTTGCCGCAGCCTCATTCTCGCTTTCTTTCTTAAGATGACAAGCAGCAGCTCCCAAAACCTCGAGCTGGAATTTCTTGAATATTTCATGAGTGTATATAAGTGATATCTGCTTCTCGAAAGGTGATGGAGATTTCAATTGAGGTACTTCATGCCACGCATCAAAACTCGCTTTCGCTTCCTCTTCATACATATCTTCTAGTATTAGTTTATACTGACCTAAAATCCCCCTAAGTGAAGAATCATCCTTGATATACCTATCAAATACAGAGTTTAAGCTTTCCGACCGGTGAGGTGTTGATAAACCTGCAAATGTAATACCCTTCATAAAGGTAGGCGCCCAGTACTTGCGTTCCTCGTACAAAGACCTCATCCACTGAACCTCTCTAAGATGAAATTTCTCGAGTAATTTTAGCCATCTTCTTTCGAATTCTTCTTCGGTCCATGACCTGTAAATACATTTGTAGAACTTTTTCGTGAAAGCATCTTCCCACAAGCTCCAGTAGTCCAGATTTCGAGGAAGCCTTTCTAGTACATACCACAAGCAAAAGCAGTGACGAGTTTCTGGGAAGAGTGCGGCAACTGCTGCTTTTATGGAATTATTTTGGTCTGTCAACATTACTTTTGGGGCTTGGTCGTTCATTGCCATTAACCAAGTTTGCATCAACCAGGCATAAGTGTAGACTGTGTCATCTGCAATCAATCCACAGCCGAGCAAAACCTGTTGCACATGATGGTTGACCCCAACAAACAGAACGAGCGGTACTTCATACTTGTTCACAAAATAAGTGGTATCGAAAGAAACCACGTCACTGCAACTTCTATAATCTTCTACGCCTTTTGCATCAACCCAAAACACATTCCTCAGCCTATGGTCTTCACTGAAATCAATTGCATAGAAAAACTTCGGATTCTCTTCCTGCATACACATGAAAAATTCAAGAAGGTATTGAGCATCACCGCTTTGAAGAACGAGATGACGTCCCTTGTCATGCTGATTTCTCGCATAACAATCTAGAAAATCGAGGTTTTGATAGGCACTAAAAAGTTTAGACACAGCAGAAACATTCTTCTTTCGCCTGAACCGAGCATCACTTTTCAAAGGGTCTGTGTTCCTATGGCTCCGGAAAAAATGGGCTTGATCCGGTAAAAGCTCGTGATTGTGATCCTTCACAAAGCTATAAACATACCACCTTCCATTTGGTCTTCGTTTTACATGCATGCTCGCTTTACAACCGATCTTCGGGGATGGCCGAGGATTGATTGCATCATCAGACTGCTGCTTGCTCCCATATCGTATACACGAGAATTTCGCATCAATAAATTCCTTTGATGCCCTAGATCTTCGACTGCTCAATTTGGCAGTGCCAAAACCGACAGATTTGGCATATTCTTTATAAAACAAATATGCATCTTCATGAGTGTCAAACTCCATTTCGGGTCGAGGTTCTGATATAACAGATCCAGGACTATCGCCAAGATCCATCACGTGTCAAGTAAAGAACTCTCACAAAAACATCTACCAAAGCTGGTCACACTAAGATGGGCATCACATTTATGATTTTCCAACCATACGGAACTGCATAAATCATTTGAATATTAGTGAACGATCATCAAACTCCATGGAAATCTAACAAATGGTCCTCTGAATTAGCAGAATACTTAGAACATTTCATACAGAACCCAACTGCAGCTACAATTTGAATCATGGCACAAATATAACAAACACTAAACACTCTAACAACACTACCTACAAAATTGAAACTTTGAAATCGCATTTAAGCTTATGAAGCCAGAAAATATTTCGGTAACAACCACAAAACCCCAATTCAGCAACCAATCCGAACTTAATCCCACGGAAATCACTTCTTTTTACTTCCTAAAACAAAAGGAAATTTATCCAAACTACAAATATCCTCAAAATCATGAAGAATGTAAATACACTCAACGCGAAAATCACATAGAACACCGAGTGATCGAGGCACAAAGAACCCTAGAACACGAAAAAGCCAGCCTAAAGCAACGAAAGCAACAAAAGAGGAGGTACGAACAAACGGAACTAAGACAGAAAAATATAAACAAGAAGAAGAAGAAGAAGAGAGAGAGAGAGAGAGAGAGAGAGAGAGAGAGAGAGAAGATACGGTGGCTGAGCGGCAGCGACGGCGGCACTACGACGGAGGATAATTCGCCGAAGAAGGAAGAGAACGATATTTTTCTTCTTATTCCTTTTTTTAAAAATATTTCTTGGGCCGACGCAAAAAAAGTATATTTGAGCCCAAAATTAAGCCCACGTGTACGAATTTAAAAACCTCTATGGGCCTATATTTCCACTTTAATGGGCCATCAAACAGTTCAAAGATCCCAAGCAACTAGTAGTGATCTTTCGGAATGACAAATGTTTTTATTTTGTGGAAATGTCAAATTTTATAAGCGGTTCTTTGCTAAATCTAAAAAAAATTAATCTTTAAACTAGGTGAAGAAATTGATTTAGTGGCTCTTAATTCATATTCTAAGATTACGTGAACAAATTAGATACACAAACGCGTATAAAGTTATAAACACATCCACACGCACATATTTATATATACGTACATTTTATATGCATACACACATATAAGGGCATATACATACAAATACATGTGTGGCTATAATGCATGGACGCCAACAGACAAATACACTTTTTTTTGGTAATCGGTGTCCTAAGAAGATGTTCAAACTAATTTTGGAACTGAGAACAAGTTTTAAAATATGTATTTTTCTCTCCAATTTGATGTTCGAATTCGAAATAAGGTATACACTTTACGTTTTCATTTTACCGGTTCCATTATCCAAATTGGATTATTACACATGCATATACTTACTTACTTATATGTGTCTATATATATATATATGTTTAGAAGGATGAGAATCGTTGACTGCAAGATTGTGGGAACGAGTCGTTTTCAACGAGAAGCGAGAAAAACAAGCTTCTTTTTTTTTAATATATATATTTCCGACAACTCGACGGGTCACGGGATTTTGTTTTGATTTTTAAGAGTTTAATTACAAATAAGATATTAAGTGGACTGATTTAAATATTATTTATTATATATATTTAGACATACTGTTAATTATTACTAACTACTGTTTTATGAAACTGATAAAATTATTATATGAAATATGTGGATAAGTAGTTTAAATACCGAAGGCTCTCATCTAATACCCAAAATTTCGAAATCAATTGATGCAAGTAAATGTAATAATTTGTATAATTAAATATTATGTTCCGAAACGACTTCAAGACGTATTCTTTTTAAATCAGGAGTTTTATTTTTTTGTACACCTAATTATTGATATCATTTTTATTCTTCAACAAAAGTTTTTGAGATATTTCAGTCCCATTAAAAAAATGTATCGATTATCTATAACATAGAAAACAAATTGATTTTCTTAAATACGATTAATATTAATTACCATAATAATACATTCAATTAAATGCTAGAAATCAAAGAAAGTGTGTCATACGATATTGAAAATTGAACTCCATAAAAGATTGATATCAATTTAGTATATCAAAATTATGTTATCTTGTGGTTAAAATGTTTATTCGTCTTTCGAATATAAAATCAGAATAATATCACAAAATTATGGATATTTTAGATAGTGTAAGTACCGAAATAAAATAATTATTAGTGTCGTAAGTCAATAATTTTCGAATAAACACTTATTATATTTGATTGTTTTTCCGTCCTTGGTTTTAAAATGTTTTTCTTATGTCTCCTTTTATGTTTGGACAATAATTCAAAAATGTGGGAGGGCTTCTTTTTTGTGGTGGGTCTAGAGACAAAGACATTCTTGTTCTTTGTATAAAAGACGACCATATAGCATGGGTAGTTTGGTCCTATCCACTAAAATACTATTTAATTATTATTCTTACTGATAACTAATATAAGATGTATTAAAAAAATATATATATCAATAGTGTAATATATCATTAAATACTATATTATATCATAAAAATATATGGTAAATATCTTTTCATGAGAAATATATAACTATATATATATAAGTGAAAATTCTAATTATACAGTATTTTTTTTTGTTAAAATTATACAGTATTACATTTACAAATCCCATCATAACAAAAAAAAAATATGTCAATAATGTACAAATACGATACAAAAGCAAATTGATCTACAACAGTCTTATACGAGAATATATGAAAAATATTTGACTTTTTTATCAGTAAATTTTTGTAAAATAAATATATGAATGTTTAATAAAAGTTCATGAACAATATTACCGACACACGTATGTATGTATGTATGTATGTATGTATGTATGTATGTATGTATGTATGTATGTATGTATGCATGCATGCATGTATGTATGTATGTATGTCAATTATATTTTTTAATTGACTATGATGTTTTTGGACGACAGGAATAAATCAATATGGACAGAATCTGCGTACCAACCGATGGGCCAAATTCTTAAATCCCTCTATTCTCTGAATTTATGGGCCAATACGTTATGAGTTGCTGGTTATGAACTTGTAAGACTTAATATATAAGAGTTAATAATATATATTATACACATATATATATATATATATATCTACTAATACGAATTATTTCGATTTAGTGTTAAAAACATTCGGTAGCTATCACTTAGAGACGATGGCTTGTCACCTGTAATTTGTAAAACTAACGCTTTATACCTAATGAAATAATGCATCTAAGAAATACGTAATGACGCCTACAACCAACCACGTGCCTTTATCTTATATATTTACTATTTACTACTTGCTAATCCTAATTTAGCCCCGAAAAGCAAGCTTAATTATCTTTTTTTTCCGCACTAAAGTAATTCTAGAAAGAATTAAACATATTTCTATTTGGAATAATTTTCCTTTTATATTATCATGGAAGGAGAATAAATTTCGGGTTTAAATACATCTCACAACAAAAAGACAAAACAACAAAATTCGCAGTAATCCAAATTCGACATATTGCATCCAAATTAAACAAAAAAATATTCGATCTAACCCATATAAATATCATATTATACCGTTTAAATCAATCGTAATTATATAAAATTTTAAAATACTAATAATCTGTTAGTCTGATGCGCTTTGCGATAAATTCATTCATACTCGATTATTGCAAGCAACTTAATATATTTTAAGAATAGTAATTAAAAAATTTGGATCCAACGATCCTGCACGATCCACGGGGCATTGATTATCAGCCTTGCTGTTATGCAAAGCTACGTGATATAATATTCATGCATACTCATATATAAAATAATTCATGTATATTCATATATAAAATAATCCATGTATAATTAATAACTTGCGTTCACTATCAAAGTCTGTCCACGGCCCTTATTAATGGACATAATATTATTAGTGAAATTAAACTATTATGTGACTCTTAAAGTTAAAAATTAAAAATATAACGACGGCCACTCAAGATGCTGGATGACGAACAATCATATAGTTACAAAAACTAAACTTATATAACTATATTATTATGAAAGATATCGGATAAGGATTTAGTTAAATAAATTTTGGGGGGTTCTAATGTAATAATGGTGAAATAAAGCCAATTTATTTAAAGATGGGAAGGGAGTTTTAACCAAAAAAAAGCGCAGGAAACTTTGAGAAACAATAGCACTTTAGGTTCTATATCTCCAAAGAACATGGAGGTTCCTTGCGCTCATTGGTTAAGGCGTCGAGATATTAAATGACAATTATATCCTTTATCGCAATCAGACTTTTACACTATATATATATATATTAGATAAAATGATTATATATATTTTTGGTGGAAAAAATGATTATATATATATATAGAAGATGATTGTGAGAGTTTTAAAAAATATTTCCTAAGCGTTTGCTACAGAAAATGATTTCTATGTAGGTAACAAAAATATATCAACATGAAAAACCTATTCGCAACGGTGGATATGGTTCTACTCATTTTAATATTTCGTAACCATAGATTTATAATGTTCTAAGAAATAAAAAAAACTCTTTAATTTGTGTTTTTTTCCCTCAAAATTATTTACGTATCTATAAATGTATTTGATCCTCGACAAAATAATTACAATATATATATAATCAGTATAATATTTACGTTTTAGATAATCTAATTTTAAAACATATTATATAATTTAATTAGATAATCGATTCAAAATAATTTGATAAAAATATTCTTACCAAACTATCACTATGTATTATCTACTTAATAATTTTACATTTATTTTGTATGTATACTTTAAAATTTTAAATTGAAAATTTATTGAAAAATATCATAATACAAAGAGTAATTGATTTAACAAAAACAAATGGAAAATGATTTGGATTCTTACTAGAATAACTTATACTGATATTACAAAATTTATTAAATTTTAATTATTTTATAAAAATAACAAATTTAGTTATCTATATTTAATATATATTGATTAGGTTTTAAATTATATATATTCCATATGTTTTAGTTTATACTCAAATTATTTATTAAATTTATTCTATTTAATTTTGTATTTAATTTGAATTTAAATTTAATTAACTAATAAGAATAATTAAAATGTTGTACTTTTATTTTAAATATAATTATTTTTATTGATTTTTGTGAGACTATAGGAAAATACAATGATTCTAATGACATATTAAACTCTAGATTTTTAAAATAAAAGCTATCAACCTTCGTGGCAAAGGAAAACTATTATTCTTTTTGGTGACGGAATAAAACTTATGGGCGGCAACGTTATTTTATTCTTTTTTCGGTTCAGAAAAGGAGAAAGGGGGATCTAGAATCGCCATTTCATTCTGATCCCATACACGTGTAGGTCACTGACGCCCGAGTCCGTGGCAAGACATGTAATAATGAAGAAGCTTGAGGGGCATAATCGTCCATCCACAAAATATTCTGTATCTGGCCATTGTTGCTTGCATCCAAGATCTTCCTCTTTTTTCTTCCTTAGCTTTTAGTCATCGGACATAACCATCAGACAACTAGAGGAGAGAGAGAGAGAGATTATCTCTGTTTGGCCTTTTTCTGGTTTGTTTTTAGTCCTTTTTGTGCTTCCATTCTCTGTATTTGGTCTTTTTTCACTGAAGTGGTTGGTTGTGTTCTTGTCACTGGTTCTTGATTCATTATGAGTTGTCTGATTTTATGCTCTGTCGGAAAAAAATTTAGCCTGAAGCTTGTCGCTTAATCGGGGAAAAAGAAACGCTTAGAAAGGATAAGTCATGTTTGGTTGAAATTTATGCAAAATCATAGTATTCAAGCTTAGGAGTAGAAAAGGGTAAGTTTCTCTTTCGGCGGGTGCACCGTTAGCTCCTTGATTTCTGAGCAGTGAAGTTGGGAAATCTGTTGTATTTTTGTGTCTCCGTGGAGAAAGTTTGGAAATTTTTTAGGGTAATTTTCCAGGAAAAGTCTGTTTTCTGAGGAAACAAACAGGCTATTATGTGTGTTTTCCTCTTTTCGTACTTCCGTGGTCCCTGTTGGTTTTAACGAAAGAACTCAAGATTAGCAATTGGGTTTTCACAAATCTTGAAGTAGCTTACTTCACTGATGAATTCCAGGAAAAGGGACATAATTTTCCCGTAAAGGTAACATTCTTTCTCGGAAAACAAACAAGGTACACACTTTCTGGGAAAACCAAGCATGGAGTCAGATTTTCAGCACACCCGCTATCATCTCCGCGACAACCACCACAAGCAGCCCAACTCGGGCTTGACTCGGTACCAATCCGCTCCGAGTTCGTACTTCTCCAGCTTCCTGGACGCCGGCGACGGCGTCGGCGATGAGTTCCTATTCCGACCACCGAGTCCGGAAACGGAGAGAATTTTCCAGAAATTCCTCGAATCTACAGAGGAGCTAACGGAACCAATGGAAGTAAAGCTTGAAAGAGAAGAACAAGCACCGCTACCGCCGCCGCCGCCGATACCGCAGTTACAGCCGGAGAAGCATAACAGTTTTCAGGGTTTTCATCAGCAACAGATGCAAAATCAGAAACAGGGTGAGATTCCGGGTATGGGTTTTGGAGCGGCCGCGACTGCAAGCGCTGGGATGAAGCGTTTGCCACCGCAACCGCCGTCAGCTGCAGCAGCGGCCGACGTTTCGAGTCTGATTCGGCACAGTAGCTCGCCTGCAGGATTGTTCAACTCCATTAATGTCGAAAACGGTATACTTCTCTGCTCCGTTACCATCACATTTCGTTATAAACCTTTGATAATGGTTGAGGGTTATGTTTCATGTTTGGAGATTTATGAGATTCTGTTTTGTTGTATTGCCTGCTGGACAACAAAAGTCCATGGTTTTTGCATCAAGTTCTAATCTTTTGGGACGTTGTTAATGTACATTGGCGTTCTTTAGTTAGATTCTTTTCTGTAGCATTGAGTATTGGACATGGAGAATGAAGCTTGTATATGAAAGTTGTAATCTTTTGCGACGTCGTTGCAGATTATATCCCGATGAGAGGAAGCGGAGATTTAGGGGATAGTAAGGCGAAGATAGAATCTTTGTTTGCTAGCAAACCGCCTCCTTCCCCGAAAATCCCCGACCTCAGAAAGCAGAGCAGTTTCGGGGCAAATGATCGGAGAACGCTCTCTGGAGGCTTCCATCTCCCCGAAACCAAGGTAAATTCTCGACACCCTCTTGCCCGAAACGATAGTTTCATTATGTGTAAAAGTAACGGTGAATCTTTTGCCATTACCATCGGGCAATCAGAACCTCGATGGCGTAAACAGGCTGTCACGTTTGTCACACCACTTGAGCCTGCCGAAATCACTGTCTGAAATGAGCGAGATCGAGAAGATCTTGCAGTTATCGGATTCCGTCCCTTGCAAGATCCGAGCCAAACGTGGTTGCGCTACTCACCCGAGAAGTATAGCCGAGAGGGTAATGATTTCACCGCTCACAATCCGATTATTTTTCGGGCTCAAATCTTTGGTCGGATGTTCATCTTGAACGGTTGATGAATATTAGGTTAGGAGAACGAAGATCAGCGAGCGAATGAAGAAGCTTCAAGATTTGGTTCCGAACATGGACAAGGTTTAGATATTTTTTTCCTCAATCTCCCGATTCGGATTGCTTTCTGACTCAATATTTGATATTCCAAGTCTTTTGTTTCTCTGTTCTTCAGCAAACGAACACTGCGGATATGCTCGATCTCGCCGTTGACCACATCAAAGATCTCCAAGAACGCCTAAGGGTACGTAATTTCATTTCATGGACCGACAGTGAATGGATTTTGAGAGACCAAAGCTTAAAACTCATTGATATACAAGTCAACATAAGATTCATTCCATAAGCCGTTAACATTTGGTGCTTTATAACTCTTTTACCAATGATTTTGTATCATAGCTCATATTTTTATATTCCAAATATTTCAGATATTACAAGAAGACCGAGCGAGATGCACTTGTTCAAGTGTGAAGAAGTAGCATATTAAATTATATTGGATATAATGCTTTTGTGATGGAGCAATGGACAAGTCTTACTTAGGTTAGGAATTATTGTCTATGTATCAATAAATCATCTTTTATTTGCATGCATACACACATACATATATATGCATATATGTATATGTGTGTATTCTTGTGTTTTAGTTATCTTAATGGACCTTGGTACAATGAAGTTCCTTGTAAATGTGAAACCCTTTTTTATATGATAGAATTAAATTATTGGTATGCAAAATATGCTCTTATTCTATGTTCAAATCCAAACTTGGAAATGGATATTTAGTCGGATATTTTCGATTCTTTCGAAGGTATAATTGGATCTAAGGTATGATTAACTTTTCTATTATCCAAAAAAAAAATTAAATTATCGGATAAAATGATTTAGGGTTTAAACATGATTTTATATATAAAATCATGTTTAATATAATATAGTTTATATATATAAAGTAATAAATAGTGTATTTATTGTAGTGTCTTTTAAGATTTAGTGAAACGAATGTGAATGAAAGTATGGTAGGTTTTGGATGGGGACAGCCACCCATTCAAAAAGCCCAACAAGCAAAAGACACATCTGTTTGAAAAGCAAAAAGACAAAATTGCGTTGTGACTTCTAAGATCGGTCACTGATTTTATTATTATCACACACATAATTGTACCTCCCATAATTATTTATTTTATAATACCCCTTTTTACTTTTCATTTATCTTTTTTTTTTTGTTTAAAATCCAAACTTGGACTTAAGTGATCATTTATAATTTTTGGATATTAAAACCCTCGAGAAATCGGTGGTTGTGTGGTGCTAAACCACATATATATATATATATATATATATATCCAAATGATAAGATCGTTTTTCATTTCTTTTTGAAGATTTCTGATCCAAAGGTCTCTCTTACAACAGTTGTATTGTACGTTTTTATTTGAGGTCGGTCGCGTGAATTCTTCATTTTTATTCATTTCGATTTTGAGTTAATTCTTTCGATATTTACAACGATTCGAAACACGCATTCCCGTTCCCGTGTTGAGAGTTAAGAGAGGGCAAAATGGGGATTTTGGGTTCAGTTAGGTATCTCCACCGACTTCTGACGTTTCCTCGTCGAACGGACCGATCCCTCCACCTCATGCTCCAACGCCTTCGCCACCTCATCAACGGGCAAATCAGCCACGTACATACAAAGTCAAGAAACGAGGTGAAGCTTCTTCTGTCCGAAACTGAGTTCCACGGCCTTTTGACTCGGCTGTAAACGTTTTGACGTTTGGCACGGTCCATCTGCAACTGCGACAGATCGTTCGAGCAGAAAGAAAACGAACGGAGAGACTTTCGATCTGATTCAGAAGATTTTTCAATCGAATATGAAGACGGAGAAGACAGTCTGCCCTTGCCAGCATTGGCAGGCGAAAGGACTTCGGATTTGAACCCGAAACCCCATTTGACCACGATACAAAACCTCGATTTTTTTTCGGACCGGAAAACTTAGATCCGAAACCCGATATTTTTCGGGTGGACTGTGACCGGGCTTCGGATTTCGGATATAAATTTAACCTCTAGAGATTTCTTCATACTTGCCCCGAAAGTACATCTTTTGTTTTAGAATTTTATTTGTAGTTTAAGTTTTTATAGTTTAGAAATTAGAGCTTTTTCAAGTAGAATTTTGAAGTATAAAAGTTACCGTGATTATATTGGATTTCATGATTTGTTTCATAATCCGGAAAATATCTAAAAAGAAATGATTACGTTTTATTATAATTTTATTTGTCAAAAAGTTTATAATTTACATGAGATCACATTAATTAAATAAAAAGTTTTTAACCAACAACAAAATTTTATAACATAATTTCAGCCGAAAATTGCAAAATTGACTTTTTACGTGCTCCCAACTTCACTTAGAATCCACAAATCTGACGTGTTTATACTCCGAAGAACATCAATGGCGGAAACAGAGCATCTCTCTCCTTGAAAAAAAAAAACATAACGACCTAATTTACCAATTTGCCCTTCAGCAACGGCTACTTTTGATAAGAATCTTGATTCAATTTCGAACACGGTTAACGCGTTTACAACGGAGACTCCGACCTTTTTTTTATTTAATAATAATAATTTTTTTTAAATATTGAAAACGGAGTTCATGTAAAAACGATGCTTCATGTCACCAATGAAGAGGGCACGAGGCCTGGTCTCTCTGTTCTTGTTCTTCCATGGTATCAATCTCATAGGTTTGAACCTTTTGTCTCCGGCATTGCCAACACAACAACGCTGAAAACAAACGCAGAAGTGACGAAAATCGCTACCGAAACTAACAGATTGCTCCTTCCGACCGGAGAAACTATCGGAGAAAGGATCGCTCCGATCACTTGAGCTTGTGCGGCCATCGCTGCCGCAGAGTTTCTCGCGCACGTCGGGAACATTTCCGCCACGAAAACCGTCATCAGATTGATTCCCGTTCTCGAGAAGAACGAGGAGGCGAGCTGAAACGCAAACGCGGCCTTTTCACGTCCAAAAACGCCGAAAACGGAACAGGATACGCCAGACACTATCCCGATCACATTGTTCGCGAGCAACGAGCTTCTTCTGTTGAATTTCTCGAGCAAGAACGGAGCAAGAACGAACGAAGGCAACTCCACTAGCCCGTTTAGGGTTTCGTCGATGTAGTTATATATCTCCCACGACGAAGGGGACACCATGATATGACATTCCTATCCCGAAACCGAACAGCCAAGATTCGATTCAGAGCCCATCTCCGGACGAATAAGTCCTTGACCGAGTGTTAATTTCCGCCCTCGTTCTGGGCTTTCTTCCTCTACAGTTAACCGATAAAAGATCGATTCCAACGTGGATTTATTCATCTTTTACAAGCACACTCATCGCTTCCTCATTCCTCCCTACCATATTCAACCACCGAGGGAACTCAAAGGCAAATAGGTAAAGGATTAAAGAGTAGAGAGCCGTAGAAATGGATACGGAGAGATAGAAGACTCTCCATGACGCGTTTTGAAGAACTTGAGATAAACCGGACAAAGCCATAAACCCTAATACGTAGAGGGTATAAGTGGAATCATGCCAGCTTGTGGCCTCCATCTTTCAGACACAGACTCCATGATTAGGACAGTACCGTATGTCCCAAGCAAAGAACGGACAGAACCGATCAGGAACTTAAACGAAGTGTAGATCCATATGTTGGTGAGGGACATTGATGACGTCGAGAAGACGAGTAGATTCTTCCGGCCGAAGAGATTTTCCGGGATCATAGCCAGAAGAAACCCTCCTACGACACAACCCACGAAAAATGCCGTAGTGGGCATGTTTCTGAGTGAAGAGCTCCAACACTCGAGATCGAAATCTGAAATGACGGTTTTACCCCCGCCGCCGTCCCAGTCCCAGGATGATCGGGGAAGCTCGCAGATGTCGGCGGTGGCAGGATCGCAGATCGAACGGTCAATACAGTGCCACGTGGGAAAAGCGTCGGTGTAGATGTTGATGGACGCCAGCTGCGAAACGAAGAACATCGCCAGACCGACAAGGATTGCTTGGATGAGATGCGGAAATCCGAAGCCGGACGATGACTGTTCGACGATCTTGTCGAAGGCGAGTTTGGAAGTTTCTTCGTCGAGCTGAGACGACAACAATGGTGATGAACCCGCCATTGTTGCTGGCTTCAGCATTGGACTGAAACAACAAGAACCTCTAAATCAAATGGAAGTCTTGTTCAGTTGCCACAGAGATCTAAATCAACAGTCCAAATAAAAATCACGTAAGAAACAGGGAGAGAGCGCTTTAATCACAGTCCAAAGCCCACGATGCTTACCTAACCATCCCCTAAAATATTAGTTTTTTCCTCGATTTTAGAAGATTAAGCTTTTGAAGAAATAAAATTGGGTCTTGTCACAAAAGATAAACAAGAGAGAGAAAAACACCTATTTTAGGGTAGCAGTGCTCAGCTCCAATTACGGCGATTGAGTTACCTCGACCGCTTCTTTTCAATTTGGGGTGGACATTTGACATTTTGATTTGGATATTTTGATGTTTGATTTAAAATTTTGGGTTAGATTTGGCTTGATTCCACTCTTTGTTCAGAATTCTATTTTATTAAGGAAAATATTTGACTTTATTGGTTGTTTTTTTATATTTTCGGGTTCAATTCATATTTTTGTTTCAAGGTTTGTTTAAAAAAATATTATATCTATTTAGTTTTTTTTTATCTACTATTTGATTGGGTAGATTTCATAATATATAGATATTTTATTGTCCCTTGCAATATTTGGAAACAAACTGTTTTCTACATGAAACATCTCATTCGTCTTTGGTGAGGAAATATGGAATTGCTCAGAACTCAGAAGTGAGACTAAGACATACAAAAATCTCTCGGGATATGTATATCTATGCAAATTCCTTTTAGACAATATATGTATATATATACACACATATATATAATGATAGAAATATACTTTGTTTGCATACCATGATGGGTTTATTCAACGTGATACATAGAAGCTAAGTCTAGTTCGGAACAATATTCGACACGGAAACCATCGGCATTTCAGCCTCTAACACTATGCGATCATTCACCAAGTAACCCTTTGATTTATCGTAGAGATCTTGGAACGATATGATATTGTGGACCCCCACGCCGTAACCATTACGAACCGGGTACCAAGCTGCGGCTGCAAGACCGTGTAAACAGAAATAATCAGCGTTACAAAAAATGTAATTAAAGTTGTAAACAAATATGTCACGTTGAACATGAACAGATTTAGCCTTGTACAGTATTTCTCGACGTAGTTTGAATATCGCTGATTCCGCAAACGGAGATAGACCGCTCCCCATGTTGTCGTGGCCGGAGCGTTTTGTGAAAATTCGTAGGTGAAAAGCAAAACAGGAAGTGCAGTGCCCCGACCACCTCCCAAGCCTTTTGGATTGAGTCCTAATCTCCTGTTACATAACACAATCATCGTCCGTTATGATTAATTCATGCAACAAACTAAGCTTAAAACCCATTATATACATATACATATATATATATATATATATAGATATATATAAGCTTACCAATATCTGTCTCCAACGAGGAAGGCGTCCGAAAAATAGAATTTGTCTTCTAACTGGGGGAAGTAAGAGATCGTCCACGAGAATTTATTGTTTGCCGGGCTTTGTACGAATGTCACTTTCTCTATTTCTTGAATCTTATTCAAGAGAAAGATCTCGGCGCCAAATGTGACACGGTCCCCCGAAACGTATCCTTCGTTCGGGTTATTGAGCGTCGAAAGAGGAATCATTTGAGCGAACCCCCACTCTTTCTTTGCCTCGTTGAAACGCTTTGTAGTTCCATCTACAGCATATATAGGCAAATCCAAGGGAACATAAGATTTTTTGTTGTTGTTGTTGAGCTTAGAGATTATGTAGTTTAGGGTTCGTTTTTTCCGTTATTTTCCCGCTTACCTTGGACCGTCAAGTATTTATTCAGCTTCTGATTATGGACAAACAGTTTGAGGTCCACATTAATCTCCCAACTTTTAGGCAAAGATTCTGTCTCTTCGATCCTCAAGTACATCGAGACATAATTACTTCCACCGTCGTCTTGCTTCCCGACCGGAAACATAACCAACCGCCTTTCGTCCCGGAAAAAAAAACCATAGATCTATACATGCCATATTAATATTATTGAAGATTATATGATGGAATTCACTAACCATTTATAACCAGCAGCGTCGAAAACAGCGGATTCATAGCCTTCGCCCCTCGATTTCACAACGGAGAAACTCTCTATCGTGAACAACTTACTCGACGGTGGCTGATCCCTTAGAAAGCTCGTGACCCCTGAAACATTTTGTTCGTTTTGCGCGGGAAAATTAAGAACATATCACATAAATATTCTGCAAATCTTCTTTAAATCTAAGCATTGAAGATTGATGAACGGTCAAAGAAAGAGGCACCCACCCATTGCCATGTTGAGTTTGACGAGGAGACAAACCAGACAGAGAGCTCCATAACTCGATATCCTTGGATCCATAGTGAGTGGGAGACGATTGGTGGCAATCATGTTGTGCTTTTGAAGTCTATTTATAATTACATGGGGTCCTTTATTTCATTTTCTTTCAAAATTTCAATTTTTTTATTTAATTTTGTTTGCTTATCTCGATCTCTCATCTAGGATTTGTATATCTTAGATTCCACTAATGATAGATAATTAATCTTAATAAGGAATATAAAATGTAAATACGCGTAACTAAAAAATACATGAATTATTATTAATTTCTATATTAAAACTTCAATATTTAAAACGGGTTTCAAAAATTATCCTGTCATGATGTTTTGTTATTTAAAAATTTAGAATTAAATTTCATGATGATTTTTAGGAATCGTTTAAAAATTCATGATTTAATTTTACTATTTTAAAAAAAAATCGTAGTTATAAAATATTAATTAGTTATTGTATTTGTATGAAAATTTTAAAACTTGTATATTTATTTAAGATTTTTTCATAAATTCGTATATTAATATCTGATTTTCTCTAAAATTAATATCATGGGGGAAAAATGGACATTATATCCTATGCATGGACGGACGGACCCACGTTGAGATGTATGGGGGCATATGCCCCATTGGTGTGATTAAAATGTTATAATTGTTTCATAAATCATATCATATTTTAACCAAATTTAGTAAATGCCCCTATAGAAAAATTATGTTTATCATATGGAAAATAAATTTTGCCCCCAGTATCTCTAGATAGGTTTCACGGTAGGAAAAAAAATTTAGGCCATCTTGGCAGAAAATATTTAATACCATGAATTGAAATCTAATGAAATTTTAATACCATATGGTTGAATAATGAATTGTGTTATATATTTCAGTATTTACGCGAATACTATCAATAATTTAACCCCAATTATAAGTAAATTACCTTTAATATCTGACGTACCGCATGATAAATAAATATGCTTCGAAAGTGGGTGAGGTGAAAATTAATTTTAAGTGCATGCGTTTGGTACTCGCACCAATTTGTTCAAACGTGATTTTTACTATTAAACATAATGATAATGGAAAGTGGGGTCTTAGAGTAGATATTTTCTTCTTGTCTTCTCAATTATATTAATTAAATATTTTGTCACCACCACCATACAAAGTGCTGCAAGGAAAATTGAGTGCATCAAGCAAATAATTATGTCTGTAAAATGTTATTACGAGAGACTCCATTATCATCCAATTCATTATTATATACTTGTATTAAAAACTAAATTGTAAATCAGGATTTACTTTTGATTAAAAAAAATTATTTTGAAATAGCTATTAAAATTCAGGTTATCGTACTAGTGCCCTAGTTGTAATTTTGAAAACAAAAATTTAAAATTTTAAATCAGGATTTACTCTTATACAAAATCTTTTGATAGGTCATATTATTTAATGGATCAAACCTCAAATAAAAGGAGCATGGTCTGGGTGGATCCAATAGCTTTCAAAAAATTACACATTAGCTGGTGATCTAATGACAGAGAGATGACAAAATTATTTAAAAATTGCATGATTAAAAACTGACTTGTGACCTATGGAGATCAAGTGGGGGTTGTTTAGTAAATCTCATGATTATCAAAAAACAAATATCTTTTGAAAAATTGATGGCAGATTCTCCGTATTACCACACAAATGTTTTTCAAAGTGTAGGGGAAAGAGTAGGTGTATTTCATCTTGTTTGGAATTTTATGTGATCGTGAATCGATGTCATGGATCCACCATGAATCCGTGAGAGTAAATATGGAAATCCCCACTCTCCGGTTAGTAATGAGTACCACTGACCATAACCCACAATAACCGTCTGTCTTTAAAAATACGGGAAAGGGACAACGCTTTCCATATGATGAAGTTGTCGTCGAGAATAACGGATGCGATGACGTATATGGATAAAGGGTTCGGAGATCGAAGCACAATTCACGTCGATATTGAAACCACACCCCTCTTTGCAACACTTGTACATAAAGCCGCAACAATCTTGACAACAAACGTGACATATCTTGCCATCGGTTCCGCACGATTGTAATCTGAGACGGTGGGGATGTAATATATACCATATCTTTCTCGGTAAATTGGCAGAACTTTCGTGGAGAATGAAATCGCAATCACGCTTTTTGCAGATGTAGATATTACCAAAATGAAGACGGACAGGAAGAGCACATACTTGACAATGCTTGCTTCCAGTTCCACTATCATCATCCTCGTTCAATTTAAGATGATGCTCGTGGCTGAAATGGTGTATAACTCTGTCATCTATGACCTTGAACAGCTCCTCGATATCTTCAGGCTCTTCGGGCACTCCGTCGAGGTCTTGTCCATCCCAAACATCTTTTCTTGTTGCACACTTCGAGTGGACAGCATAATGACAACCTTTGATGCAAGAATACGCGCCATAACTGTTGTGGACGACTTTGCGACAAACCCCACAAGACAATGTTTCACGGGTTGGAAGAGGAGATGAACCATACCAAAGACGATGTTCATGGCGAGAGATCCTAATGATGCGTGGTAAGTTGATACATTTTTTGTGGAGCATTACTCCACAATGGAGACAAACCCAAGGAAGGGTGGAAGAACAAAGGGCTAAACCTCAAGCATCACAAGTGAAGAGTCGTGGTTTAGGGAGGAGGAATAGCTTATGGTTGTGGCTCTTAGGCTCACATATCTCAAGAACTTGTGGCTTCCTATATATAGGTTGAATTTGCAAATTGGGCAATGATACACCCATGCTGTAGTTTTTTTCCCGCAACAACTGCATATCTCGGAAGATTTTATATCACCAATGCAACGGGGAGTGAGAGAGTGAGGAGGGTGATAAGGTTGTTTCAACTGATAATCTATGAGGATAACCAAAAAAATCCGGTATAAAAATTAAATGGTTTATGATATCTTTATATATAATCGAATATCTATGGTGAATTCAAATTTAACATAAAATAACCGGAAAAACAATTTAATTTATTTTAGGGATAATTTCATTTAAAACCCTGTACTTTTCTCTCGTCGCAATTTAAACCCTGTACTTTTTTTTTATCCAAAAAAACATTGTACTTTTAAAAATTGGCAATTAAAACTCTATACTTTTAAAAATTAGCAAATAAAACCCTGAACGAAAAAAAATATTATTTAATGCTGACATGGCATCCTAGTCATCTGCCACATCATCAATCCCTAATATTTAATAATATTAATTAATATAAAATAAAAATAAAATAATAAAAATAAAAATAAAATTTTAAAAATTATATATATTCATAAAATTATACACATATATAAACATGTTTATAAAAATTTTAAAATTATATACATATATAAATATATTTATACTATATAATACATACATATATATATGTATATATAAATATGTTTTATATGTATGTGTGATATATACATGCTTTTCTAAAAATCATATATATATGTGATATATGCATGATTTTTAGAAAAAAAATACATATACCATATATGCATATAAAACATATATATATATATGTATTATATATATGTGTGTATATATATAAATATGTTTATATATGTGTATATATGTATATCATTTCATTATATATGTATGTGTATAATTTTTAAAATTTTATTTTTATTTTTATTATTTTATTTTTATGTTATATTAATTAATATTATTAAATATTAGGGATTGATGATGTGGCAGATGACTAGGATGCCATGTCAGCATTAAATAATATATTTTTTCGTTCAGGGTTTTATTTGCCAATTTTTAAAAGTATAGAGTTTTAATTGCCAATTTTTAAAAGTACAATGTTTTTTTGGATCAAAAAAAAGTACAGGGTTTAAATTGCGACGAGAGAAAAGTACAGGGTTTTAAATGGAATTATCCCTTTATTTTAAAAAACATACTTTTTTTTTTTAATCAAAAACTGAATAATTGAATGTAACACAAACTATATAAGTTATCTAATAATCGAACATGAATAAAACCGAACTAAAGAGCCACAACCGGTGTAGATGGGAAGTGGGACTAACTCCTTTGCTCTATGAAATTTGTGTTATGGATCTCCATTTCTCTCTTCTTTATATAATATAAGATCTGGCTATATCTTTCCATTTGAATAATTAATGAAGCAGCCATGTGATTCACTATTACTCATTCGTCGTGGCTCTCATTTTCTGCACGTCCCCCGGAATATAGCTCTTGATAAACTTCAACCATTTATTTCTCCATATCTCAATGTCCCCATTTCCCCTTGAACACCCGGAGGCCGGACCCACACACATATCATTCTTACAAATAAATTCATATTCAAATTACTTTTAATCTATAAATTACTCATATAACATGATCTCCAATAAAATCCCTATTGGTTACGGTGCGTATAAACATAATCTCCATAAAATCTCTACTTACTGGTTATTTTATCTCTCTTTTTTCTTTAATATTATTTTCAATTTCTCATCGAAACTTACAAATTCAATAATAGTTTTCAATACACGTAGCCATCTAATATGATATGACCATTGATAACCTGTTTCTAATTGTCTACATTATATTAATTTTTTATTATGTGAATGCTCTTCCCCAGGTAGAGATTCGGAGCTAAGTTGGGAAAGAGCTTAAGTCTCTCCTTCACCAGCCGAACCACTCGATCTTGAATAATATCTTTCACAATCACACAAATAGAAATCATTTATCATAATTGATCTCATTTATTATAATAACTTCCATTATAAAGTTTTTATTTCAATAGGGTACATAGAAGCAGCAATAATAACAACAACAACAACAACAAATTGTCACACGTTGTCTAGTTCGGGACAATGTTCGTCGCTGAAACCATCGGCATTTCAACTTCAAAGACAATACGATCATTCACCAAATAACCCTTTGATTGATCGAACAGTTCTTGGAACGATATTATAGTATTGACTCCCACGTTGTAACCAGTACGGACCGGGTACCAAGCTGCAAGACCGGGGGAAAATATACCATCACCGAACATAAAAGAAAATGTTAATTAATTTTACAAATAAATTGCATGTTTTACAAAGAGATTTGATCTCACAGTATATCTGTTTATGGTTCGAATTTCGCTGATCCTTTAGCCGAAGATAGACCTCTTCCAAAGTTGTCGTGGTCGGAACATTTGGTGCGAACCCGTAAGCGAAAAGATAAACGGGCAATATTGTGCTTCTACTTCCTCCGTCGCCTTTCGGATTGAACCCTATTCTCCTGATACATATTCCGACCAAAAATCACGTTCTAACGGTTATAACGAATATATTCGCAGCAATAGATATAGGAAGAGTTACCAATATCTGTCTCCGACGAGGAAACCGTCCGAGTAGTAGAACTTGTCTTGTAATCGAGAGAACTGAAGGATCGTCCACGAGAATTTGTTGTTTGCTGGATTCGGTACGAACGTCACTTTCTCTACTTCTTTACATATATATATATGAACGATGAGTAAAAAGACGCATAAATGTACCCATAATTCTGCCGGAAAACGTACGGGCTGGTCGGAGGAGAGCTATTGAGCCTTGATAGTGAGTTCTCGGCCCCTTGAGTGATCTGTTGATTCAAAGCTGTGTTATCTGTACCCATAGGGATAAAGAGAGATGGCTTCATCGCGTTAATGACGTACTCACCCAACTGTCTTTCTTTATTTTATTGCAAGTATATTATTTATTTGGACAAAATTGACTTTGATTATTTTATGTACCCACAAGTCATTTGATTCCAAAACCGCGACAACATTAAAAAAGACCGGAGATAGACCCGGCAATCACGGAATTTATTCCATTACTATTATTATATCTTACAAATATATTCGAATATTTAGAACTATTAAATTAAGTTTATTTTATAACCCAAAATCGAAAAATCTGAATATCTCTATCCAAATAGAGACCGGTTCTAAATGAGACCCGTTGAAAACTAATTTTGCCCCAAACCACCTAATCTTGGGTAGAACGGTCAAGTTAACCACTATACACCAATTTGGGGTTGTAAAAGACATTTTCAGACAAATCATATATCATTTATTCGTTATGTTCCTTTTCATTGATAGAAAAATGGTATTCGACTTTACCGGATAAATGGAATTATCGTAATTCTTTTTTTAAATACAAAGAAGTAACAATTTACCAAAAAAAAAAAAGTAACAAAGGTTTCAATTTACCTTTCTACTATTTTGATGTAAAATCTCGGTTTTTTTTATAAAAAAAAATGAATAGAACATTTTTATTTAAAAAATTATTCTAGAAAATACTTGAACATCTAAAAAACAAGAAGATTTTTCTGTAATTATAAAGAATTTTAAGGAGGTTTGATCTTATATATATTTTGGGATCAAATGTGTTTAGTCTTATAAAACGATAGTGTCGAAACAATTGGACTTCTAGAAAATATGATATTTAATCCAATAAACTTGAATTAAAAATGTGTCATAAATATTAAATATCGTAATATACATTGAACATTGGGAGATACATAACAATATAATTTTTTTGTTACTATAAAATAATGTGATTATATATAATCATGACTGGAAGTCTTAAAACACTATCGAAATAGTCAAACTTCATTTTGACACAGAAAAACCTTTTAATAAATTCATATATTATATTCCAATATTTCTCAAAATATTTATTAAGCAAACTTTCAACAACCTTTACGGTTGAATCCAATAGACAATGTAATTAAGAGACAATAGGGAGAAAAAGAAACAGCTTGGTGATGGCAATGGTTGGTCCAACTGTCCTGTCTAATTTATTACAGATATATTATTGGGACAAATTGGATTCAAGTTTTTATTAGATTAAAAAAAAAAAGACCAAAAGTAATTTAATGACAAAACAAGGACAACAACAAGTATGAACACATGGGGTTCGCAATCGGTAATTAAGATCGTTTACTTCAACGTTTCATTCTTTTAATATCTGTTTCTTTGTTTGGCTGTTTTCATATATTGATATGCACTTTATAAAAAGACTGGCGATAGAACCTTCAATCAAATAGATTAATTTTATTATTCTTAAATCTTAGGAAATTACATTTGTAAGCTGAAAGGCTTTAATAAACTATATAATTGATAAACTACAAACCAACCTGGGCTTATCAAAAGATGTTTCAATATATTATATAGAAAATATTTTTCTTTGCATTGACCCAAAAAAATTGAGAAATTCCTTTTTAAATAATACATTTTTTATTTTATACAAAATATTTACATATTGATTTGATTTAATCCAAAATATTCACGAATTTATCCTAAATTTACTGATTTCATCACGATCTTGATGCGTTGGAAGAATGGGTCTTGATAACAGATCTTATTTGATAGAGGTGTTCTGGAAACAATTCCACTTTAGGACACTTAGACATGTTCATTCCATTTGGAAACTTTTTTTTTTGTAACGGAATGTTATGGACCGAAATCCAAACTAATCTGGGGATTGGGAGCAAACTATGTGATTAAAATATACATTTTTTCATCAACTTGAGACTTGAATTCAGGACGAGACCGACGTTTTGCATTCTCATTACATCGGTTGAATTATTCAACTTGGATTCTACTCGAAAACTTGATATAAGAGGTAATAAACCATTTGTAAACATGATTAAAAAATTCCTTATCTGTTCAAATATTTACTTTGTAGAGGGTTTATTATTTAGTTAAAATCAAAACCTAATTTTTTTTGCACATTCTCATTTCACAACACACACATATATATATATATATATATATATATATATATATATATATATACACAATAAATTTCGGATACATATTAGTATAGACGCAAAACGCGTTGACTTGTCCCGCCCCGGCTCGATTCGAGCCAGCCCGTTCGGGCCCGACTCAGTTGCACTCTGTTTTTATGAGTTAAAAAAATCACAACTCGATCCAAATCGCTTTAGTTCACAAACTCATTCTGAAACGAATAAAAAATAACAATATTTTAAAAAATATTTAGAAAAATCATAAAATAATATTTAAAATGTTAAAAAAATATTAAACAAAGATTAAAATATTAAGAATAATAATAATTTTGAATACCTGCGTATTAGTCAAACATACTTTTTTTCGCTTGATTTGTTCATTTCATATGGAGCACAAGATTGGGAAAACGGAAAAATACATGCGTCGACATTGCCACAAGTAGAAATCATTTATCATAATTGATAACTTTGATTATAAAGTTTTTTATTTCAACACGGCACATAGAAGCGACAACAGCAACAACAACGGTCACACGTTGTCTAGTTCGGGACAATGTTCGTCACTGAAACCATCGTCATTTCAGCTTCAAAGACTATACGATCGTTCACCAAATAACCCTTTGATTGATCGAAGAGTTCTTGGATCGATATTATTGTGTTGACTCCCACGCCGTAACCAGTATGGACCGGGTACCAAGCCGCGGCTGCAAGGCAGGAAAAAAAATGTTAACTTTACAGATAAATTGCATATTTTACAAAGAGATGTATTCTTACAATATATCTGTTTATGGCTCGAATTTCGCTGATTCTTTAACCGGAGATAGACCGCTCCCCAAGTTGTCGTGGTCGGAACATTTGGTGCGAACCCGTAAGCGAAAAGATAAACGGGCAATGCCTTGCCTCTACCGCCTCCGTCGCCTTTCGGGTTGAACCCTATTCTCCTGATACATAATCCGACGACAATCACTGTTTGGTGACGGTAAAAATTTGTCACCCTTTCGAAAGGGTAACTATTTCTATCACCCTTTCTGTTTTGGTAGTGTTTACCGGTTATAACGAATCATTTCAAGATATTTACTTGCACATATATAAAGAGAAAGTTTACCAATATCTGTTTCCGACGAGGAAATCATCCGAGTAATAGAACTTGTCTTCTAACTGAGAGAAACGAAGGATCGCCCACGAGAATTTGTTGTTTGCTGGATTTGACACGAACGTCACTTTCTCTAATTCTTGAACCTTCTTCGAGATAAAGATCTCGGCGCCAAATGTGACACTGTCCCCTACAACGTATCCCTCGTTCGGGTTGTTGAACGTCGAATGGGGAACCAATTGAGCGAACCCCCACTCTTTCTTAGCCGCGTTGAAGCGCTTTGCAGTCCCGTCTATAACATGCGCAAATCCAACGAAACGTAAGATTAACAAATCTACCGATTTGCGTAGTTTATGGTTCGTTATATTTCTCGTTTACCTTGGACCGTCAAATATTTATTCAGCTTCTGATTAAGGACAAACAGTTTGAGATCGACATCAACCTCCCAGTTTTGTGGCAAAGAATCTGTCTCTTCGATCCTCAAGTACATCGAGACATGATTGCTTCCACCGTCGTCTTGCTTCCCCATCGGATACATAACCAACCGCCTTTTAGAATTCGACATATAAGATTTCCATATATTAACAGAAATCCTTTACCCAGTAAAAAAAAAAACAAAAATAGCAAGCGGATGTCACATGAACTTACCATTTATAGCCAAGATCATCAAACACAGCGGATTCATAGCCTTCGTGCCTCGGTTTCACGATTGAGAAGCTCTCTATCGTGAACAGCTTTGTCGTCGGAGGCAGATCCCGCAGCACTCTTGAAACTATCGAAAACGAAATATATATTCCCCGGAAAATAAAATACCCATTTCTTTATATACATGATCGATCGATGCATAAAAAAAATGTAATAGGAAAGATGCATACATACCCATTCTTGGCCCTTTGAGTGGTCTGTTGATTCAAAGTTGTATGATCTGCAGCAATAGGGATGAAGAGGAATGGATGTCATCATGTTAATGATGTATCCAGCTGTCCTGTCTATTTTATTACAAATATATTATTTGGATAAATTGGATTCAAGTTTTTATTATATTAGAAAAAGACCAAAAGTAATTTAATGACAAAACAGTGACAACATCAAGTATGGACACATGGGGTCGGAATCGGTAATTAAGATCGTTTACTACGACATTTCATTCTTTTAATATATGTTTCTTTGTTTGACTATTTTAATATATTGATTTGCACTTTATAAAAAGACTAGCGATAGAACCTTTAATCAAATAGGCTAATTTTATTATTATTTCATATCTTAGTATATTATATTTGTAAGCTGTAAGGTTTAATATACTCTATAATTGATAATGTCTTAGACCGTCCAGTTAAGAACTACAAACCAACCAGACCTTATAAAAAGACTTTTCAAATACTATATAGAAAAAAACATATTTCTTTCCATTTTGACCAAAAAAATTGAGAAACACATCAATGATTTAACATCATTAATTGTTTTACACACAGATCAAAGTCATCTTAAAATGATACAATTTTATTGATTTTATACTAAATATTGGTCTGGTTTAATCCAATATATATACATATATATATATATATATATATATATTCTTTTCCATAGTTGGCCCAAGATTTGGACAACGGGGAAAATGCAACGTGCTTCGATATTGTAAGAATGGAAAATCTCTGCCACAAGTAGAAATCATTTATCATAATTGACCTCATTTATTGATAACTTCGATTATAAAGTTTTTATTCCAACACGGCACATAGAAGCGACAACAACACCAACAAAACGTCGCATTGCCTAGTTCGGGACGATGTTCGTCACTGAAACCATCGTCATTTCAGCTTCGAAGACTATACGATCATTCACCAAATATCCCTTTGATTGATCGAACAGCTCTTGGAACGATATTATTGTGTTCACTCCCACGCCGTAACCGGTCCAGACCGGGTACCAAGCTGCCGCTGCAAGACCCCGAAAAATATATATATAACATCACCAAACCAAACAAAAAAAGGGTAATTTTTACAAATAAATTGGCTGTTTTACAAAGAGATTAAATCTTACAGTATATCTGCTTATGGTTCGAATTTCGCTGATTCTTTAACCGGAGATAGACCGCTCCCCAAGTTGTCGTGGTCGGAACATTTGGTGCGAACCCGTAAGCGAAGAGGTAAACGGGCAATGCCGTGCCTCTACCGCCTCCGTCACCTTTCGGGTTGAACCCTATTCTCCTGATACATAATCACTATTAGGTGACGCTTTGTAACGATTCCGAAATTAGTGACGGTTATATATATACATAGGTGACGAATCATTTCAAGATATTTACTTGCATATATATATATACATGTATATATAGAAAGTTTACCAATATCTGTTTCCGACGAGGAAATCATCCGAGTAATAGAACTTGTCTTCCAGTTGAGAGAAATGAAGGATCGTCCACGAGAATTTGTTGTCTGCTGGATTTGATACGAACGTCACTTTCTCTAATTCTTGAACCTTCTTCAAGATAAGGATCTCGGCGCCAAATGTGACACGGTCTCCCGACACGTATCCTTCATTCGGGTTATTGAACGTCGAAAGGGGAATCATTTGAGCGAATCCCCACTGTTTCTTTGCCGCGTTGAAACGCTTCGTAGTTCCATCTATAGCATTCGCAAAATCCGATGAAATATACGATCCAAAAAACTATGGATTCGTATAGTTTAGAGTTCGTTTTTATCGTTATTTACCTTGGACCGTCAAGTATTTATTCAGCTTCTGATTAAGGAGAAACAGTTTGAGATCAACATTAACCTCCCAGTTTTGTGGAAAAGAATCTGTCTCTTCGATCTTCAAGTACATCGAGACATAATTGCTTCCACCGTCGTCTTGCTTCCCGACCGGATACATAAACAGGCGCCTTTACATTTGGGCAAAAAATCCGTAGACACATGTTTATAAAACTACGTACCAAAATTATAGAAACGTATAAATATTATGAATTTGATATGAATAATATTCGCTAACCATTTATAACCAGCAGCTTCAAAAAGAGCGGATTCATAGCCTTCGCCCCTCGATTTCACAATGGAGAAACTCTCTATTGTTATCAACCTACTCGACGGAGGTTCATCTCTGAAAAAACTCGTAACTCCTGGAAATATATATATATATATATATATATATATATATACACACACATTAAACTTTCCGGGAAAAAATCAAGAACGTATCTTTTGAGAATCTTTTTCTTTAGATCTGATCGAAGAAAGATTCAAAGAAGGAAATACCCAATCTCGTGGCACGTTCCGTTAGATCCTGGTCAGTTACCTGCTCGTATATATCGATCAAAACGCGGAAATCAATTGCGAGAATGTAAAAATTTATGCCGACACATTCATTCAAAAAAGTAAAAACTTGCAAGAACATGTTTAATGTTCGGATCTTACCTGTCGAATGGCGATTTCTGCAGAGATGGAGCCGATGAAGAGACAAAACAGACAGAGAACTCCGTAACTCCATAATCTAAGATCCATGTTGATGGGAGAAGATTGGTAGCGATCAAGCTGTGATTTTGAAGCCTATTTATAATTACATTTGGATCGCTTACTTCATATTTTTTTTAATATATATATTTCATGTTGTCTGCTTATCTGTATATATAAAAAATAATTCCAATTTACATGTACTATATTGTTATAAATAATGGGCATTTGGGAGATTGAGCTTGGATAGTAGTGGGTGAGTGGAATAGTAATTTAATGCCACGCCTTGCGCGGGGATAATAAATATAATGGATTAAAGATAAAGCATATGTTTCCTTATAGATTCTTTTGCATTTTATTTTATTCAGTTGCGAGAAAAAAGACACACCTTTTCACTTTGCGTCAAAATATTCTCTGTCAATAAAAATTATCGAAACGGACAATTAAAAAAAAAACATTTTCGTTAGAAATAATAAGAGTTTTTATCTTCTCATTGCATATTTTATTTTTATTATAGTTTTTCCATCTATCTATGATTTTCTTCGTTTCGGGTATTTGTGTAAATTCATATGTTTATTTCATTTCTCGTTTTTGTTATATTATTGTTCCTTCCGTCTTTGTATGATTTTGTAGGGGTGTCAATAAAAATTATCGAAACGGACAATTAAAAAAAAACATTTTCGTTACAAATTATAAGAATTATAATCTTTTCATTGCATATTTTATTTTTCATTTCAGTTTTTTCTCTCTATCTATGATTTTCTTCGTTTCGGGTATTTGTATAAATCCATATGTTTATTTCATTTCTCGCTTTTGTTATATTATTGTTCCTTCCGTTTTTGTATGATTTTGTATGATTCTCTCTCTCCCCATCACACACACACACACACACACAGAGATATATATATATATATATAATCCCCCATCATTTTCTCAACATCAGATGCATGGAAGTTGCACAGAAAAAGTTGAATTATTGGGGATAAGATAGTGAGAATATTGGCATCCGAGGAAAGTTGAATATTTCTTTTGCTTCTTTTTTTTTTAAATTTCCACGAGAAATTTAAATACTTCAGCTTATTATAATTTGATAAGGTTAGAATTTTACTGGGAAGAACTCTTTAGTAAATATTATAAAAAAATTAGAAATTAGGAAAGAGAATATGAAGAAAGATAAATCAAAGATCTCTAGCTTTAAAAGAAGATCCGTATTTTTTCTGTCTTATAAAATGAAGGTAGTACAACTTTTTTTAAAATAATTTTTAACATATGAAAAAGAATTTAAAATTAATGTCTTTATGAGAAAATATTTATTTTCATAGAGAAGAAGCATTTATTACAAAATCTACGAATTAGTTACGATGCAGGGCTCATTTCAATGCGCTTTCACATGTCCCAAGACATTTTGGTCATTGCTAAAAGATAATTTAGTTTATTGCTCACCAAAATAATTCAACTAGAAACTAACATATCAAAAGATCTTGAAATAATATTTTGAGAACATTTTTTTTCATCTTAAGAAAACAATTTCCGCCTTCGTCTTTTTTTTAACGAAAAATTCGTAAATCGAATTTCAAGTGCTGAATATCAAAAAACCGAATTACGAATTGCCAAAAATAGCCGTGTAAGTTTTATAAACAATTCCTAACATTTTAAGAAGACCATATCAATCAGTATGATCACGCATTCTAAGATCATTCGTATATTTTAATTATAATAAATATATATATATATATATATATATATATATATATATATATTAATACAGTATTATGTATGTGTATGAAAATCCATGTTCACCGTTTGCAGACGAGAGCAGAGTCAGCTCGAGTTAGTTACAGTGTGAATCACGTGCGTATATGTGTGTCTGAAACGAAATACGGTCGAAAGCTGCTTGTTGAGGATTCAGGAGATTGGTTGGTTTGCAATAAAGTCGCTTTTATTATTTTCCTTATTTTTGGTGGTTGAATATTCAGATGTAAACGAGTCGATTATACTTGACGCCTATCTCTTGATTGCCATCTCAGTCATGAATTGCCGGAAGCTAGTTCTTTGATTCATGGGTTTTTTTTTGTGGTTATTTCTCGCAAATTATCTTCTAATTAGAATCGTTAATCATCATCAATGGACAAACAGGAATTAAAACTTGATTATGACTGGGCTTTGGTTCTAATCAGACCAGTTCTGTTTCAATTATAGATTCATTTTTCCCTTAATCTTCTCAATCATACATCTTGTCTCTGCTACTTACTTGACTAATGCCCACGTTTTTTATTCAGTCTTTTTTTAAGGCTTAAAAACCCGAAATTTTGTTTGGTGATTACCAAATCAGTAACGGGACCGATCGATTCCCTTTATTTTGTACCGTTGGATTATAACGGAAAATAAAATACGTCCAAAACTATTTCATTTGTTTGAATTAAATGGGTTAAATTAAGCCCATATCCACTTATTGAAATATGGGCTTAATTTCAACCACTAAAACCCTAAACCCATTTCGAGATCTATTACGCAAACCAATGGAAGAACTTCCTCTACATATTGAAATAATCAAATAATTGCGTCATTCTTCAAAATTTCAGCCGTCGTTGCAAGAATCTCGGAGGATTTAAGAACCCATCTGGATTTAATTGAGATCAAACGGCATGCTCTCACTTCTCCAAGAGATTCTTATACCTGGGATCCGATTTCGGACCAAACAATATGTTCGTTGATTGGCATTTCTATGATATGTCGGAGAACAAGCTTCGATCACGAAGCAAACATTTGTGTAAGAGATTCCAAACCACAGAATTGACTGAATCAAGAACTCAAAACACAGGTCACCACAAATCTACATAAACTAAGAGATCCAAATCAACTCTACCACCTACTTTTTAAAACATTTTCATTGCAAACCTAGAATCTAAGCTCTCTCGCCTCTAATTCTTCTCGCCAGCTGAATATCCTTCGGCATGATTGTCACCCTCTTCGCGTGAATCGCACACAGATTCGTGTCCTCGAACAATCCAACCAGATATGCCTCCGCAGCTTCCTGAAGAGCTGCAACGGCACTGCTCTGGAACCTGAGATCCGTCTTGAAATCCTGCGCGATCTCTCTCACCAGTCTCTGGAATGGAAGCTTCCGAATCAGAAGCTCTGTGCTCTTCTGGTACTTCCTGATCTCTCTCAGAGCCACCGTTCCCGGTCTGAATCTGTGCGGCTTCTTCACTCCTCCGGTCGCTGGAGCCGATTTCCTCGCCGCCTTGGTCGCCAGCTGCTTCCTCGGAGCCTTTCCTCCTGTCGACTTACGAGCGGTCTGTTTGGTTCGTGCCATCGCGAAGGAGTACGTGAAGGGCTACAAGATAGAAATTTTAGGGTTTGTTTCTCGGGAAAACGGAGGAAATTGAGGGGGAGATAGGTTTCTGTGGCGGTGGGTGGAGACGACGGAGATATTTATGTACGGAGAATGGAGGAGGAAGCGGGAAAGTATCTTCGCTGTTTTCAAAAATTAATCTTTGAATCTGAATCGTGACCGTTGAAAGAGGATCTAATCGACGGATTAAAATAATTCAGCTACTGATCCGAGTGAAATATCTTTGACAAATATAAACCGTAGATTTGATGAAACATGAACGGTCATAATTAGTTTGAGTTGGGATCGTGATCCGTTGGGTTTTTACGCAAGACACTACTACTTCATGGGCTTTATTCGGCAGGTGGAAAAGGCCCATTAAAAAGAAAAAAACCCACCACAACCTCACAGTTTCGTATTTTGTCATATGCATATCAAGATCGAATCTTCAGCATTGGGCCCACTGTGAAATACTAAAAGTTAAAACATGGTTCGGAAATATCTCCTTGTCAGTTTTGCTCGATCCAAAAATACATCGATGCTATATATAAAAAAAGAAAATAATTTCAATTATATAATAAATAGTTTTTTTTTCGCGTGATCGAGTTCCAAACTAATATTCGGATCGGAATTCACTATATGATTTAAAAAAAAAAATTTTAAATTTGAGATTCGAATTCGTATATAACAAACGTTTGTATGCCGGTTTAGAAATATCTAATAATATCTTCAGATATAATTATCCAAACCTTTATAAAAGAATACAAAATCATTCGGCATGTGTGCCCAAGACTTGCTCGGTTACATAACACAACTTCCAAAGACGCTCGGTCTAACATATATATATATAGAGACGACCATATATTTCTATCTATATTATCGCAGTTCGCTTATGCCCTCAAACTTTAACATTTTATCTAAATCGTCCCTAACTTTTGAAGATTTGAGATTTGCCCCACCGTAATGAACTGTTAAATTTCTTAATCTAAGTGAAAATAATTTTAATCCTTATGTTAGAAGTAGTTTTTCTCCATCAAATCGATCGCATTTCACATGATCCATCGATCTAATTTTAGAAATGATCGTTCCATATTATTCCAGACTTTCAAAAATCATATTAGTTCAATTAAATTTAGCCATCGTATCCGTATTTATTAAGAATCATCAATATAAAAATTGTAAAAAATGAATTGAAAGATGATATTGACTCTTCTGTGAAAAATAACTAGACACATATTGATACGTGTATTTTATAAATACATTAATGCATATGAATGAGGATGTTGTTCTTAAGACATGTGCAAAATTTGGACGCATATTTTTTTATATTTTCTTTTAACATTTCTTTCAAAAATGATACCGGTGGATTATTGAAGGCAAGGGGATAGAATTATATGGATTTTTAAAAGTTCGGGAGAAAATCAGATGAACTGCAAAAATTCAGGGAGGAAAAAGTTGTCTTCAAAATAAAGATTAAAACGGCGGGAAAGTAAATATTCTTGTAGAGGAAAAAAAATAAGAAGAAGAATGTAAAAGGAATTATTATTATTATTATTATTATTATTATTATTATTATTATTATTATTATTATTATTATTATTATTATTACATCGTAAAACCAAATAAAATGACATAGTGGAAACACAAGAGATTTGGAATCTACTTTTATAACAAAGAACAAAATATAACAAGACAAGAAGAAAAAAAACCCTAGAGCCCAACGTTAAAACGAGGAAAGACTGCGCTAATACACTTGTCAGAAAATGTGTTTATTACTAAATACTAGGGTTGGGCGTTTCGGTTCGTTCTTCGGAATCGGACCGAACCGAACTGAAAAAAGGTACTTTTTCCAACCTGAAACTGTTTTTAATTCTCCAACGATACCATTTTTAGAAAACTGAATTTTTCCGGAACTGAACCGAACCGATTGAACTTTAAAAATCCCGAAAAACCGAATAGTTTTAAAGGAAATCTATCTTTTTTTTTTAATAAAACTCGGAACCGAATCGAACCGATACCAAAACTGAACCGAACTGAATACAATATAAAAACCGATTGGTACTTTTTGTAAAACCGAAAGAACCGAACCGATCCATTCTCTTTCCAAACCCGAACGGTTTCCTGAAACGCTACCGCTACTAAATACTAATGGAGAATAACATGTTTTCATGAAATTATCACTCAACCCCGTTATAACTCAATATTTAATCCGAATTTATTATATATGGGTTACACTCCCATGAAATTTTCCTTTCATTCATTGTTATACACACATAGATTATTTTCAAATATTATTTGTGAAATTAATAATTTTTCTTTCCATTCCTAAAACATATATTATGCAATTTCATGGATGATTAACAATTTAATGTGTATATATATATATATCAGAAAAACTTAAGAGCAGCATAGGCCGTGCATGGGTATTAATTTATTAAAATTAAACTGTGGATTAGTCTAATCAAATCATTATCACTAATTTAATTTTGTTTGGTTTATTTATTATATGAAATGGTCGTATTTTTACCTGCTCTTGCCTCTTGCTGACGTGGACAATCCTTTTTCTTGTTATCGTTTATTTTATTTAATTATAGTCCCATTTCTCTATCATCAGTGATAATAATTGTAAGATATTTGTTATGGGAATTTATCGACATTTTATAGATGTCATATTGTAATATGTCGATAAGAAATTTATTTATCGTTTTGAATGTTAAAAATATATTTCTAATTTGTTTATTAATTTCTATAATATCTACTAATTCTCATCAAATAACTAGCTCCCGTTTCAAAAACCCACTTTGTACTGGTTTTAGATCAACGACAACATTTTTGTCCAAATATAAAATAAATTTAACAACAATGCTCAATATTCCATTAACTTTTGTTATATAATAACATTATTAAACTCACCAAAATTAAAAAAAAAAGTCCAAAATTGCGGGCTGAATTCAAGAAGATGATGAGCAACCACGCAAAGTGTTCGAGTGATTTTCAATATTGAAAAGGCTTATTATAAGGCGCTGTTATAACTAAAAGAGATTAATTATAAACAAAGCATAGCTTTACCAGACAAAGTTGCACCTAACACTCAACCTGCTCTTACGACAAAACCCTAATCACCTTTCTTTTCTTTCAATCATGTTTTAATTATTATTCTATGTTTCATACAACTAAAAAGGATCGCGATTTAAAAAAAAATGTCAACATTATATAAATCAATGAATTAATTAAGTCTCACAATGCATATTAACAATATATCATGTATATTTCAAAATGTAAGAACAAACGTGAGAGTATGCCTTTTGTGCATGTGGAGGGTTAGACTTGGACAGAAACCCTTTTCTTTTATAAGCGCTTTACGTTGGGGGCTGGTGGGTTTGGTTTAGAAAGTTAATCACAATTAATTAATTATGTTATCGTAATTAATTTTCGTTTAATTTTTAATTTTCTGACAGAACAAATCCTACGTGGAATTCCATCTTCTACTTAACAAATCTTACTTGTCTGAGAACAAATCATTTTTTTATACAGACGAACAAAGTTAGGGTTTAAATAAGTTTTGTTTGTGGAAAAGAGTCTTTACAGAAATGAAATATTTACATTTTACAATATATAAATATATATATATATATATATATATGCAACGCAACAGTTTGATATATTATCTCCTAACAAAAATCATAAAGCCAAAAGTAAATTATTATTATTATTATTTTCTCTCACCAAATACTCCAAAGACATTGGTATGGTCCCGTGGTTGGGACAGAATCTCTTAAGAGATCCCTCTTATGAGTATTGTATCTGCTGTTGGGTGTGTTATTTTATATGTCTCATATTCATGCATAGTTAACTTTCAATTTCATACCAAGACTGTCCAAGTTTAATAACTTTCAGAACATACGACCAAATCATCCATGTTATACACCATTAGAAAGATAATTTTGATATCTACGAAACGATATCAAGAACATGCAATTCCGATAACGGTATAGAAAGTTATGTTCAAACCAACATCATTATATCAATATGATTTTTGTTTTAAAACCGGAAAACCAAATCCGAACCCACGGCGAACCGTGTCTCCTTAAGGAAATTATTCTCCGCGCGGTACCTACGGTTAATGGAATATATCCTCCCAGGATAGGACGGACGTACCTCACCGGAACAGTGGTACTTCAAACTCCGGTGCCTTGTCGAACTCAAAGCTCGGTTTGAATCACAAAGGAAAAAAGATGATTTTCTTTCTTTTATAGAAAGCTTTTGTGTTTTTCTTGATGTTCTTAAAAATGAAAACAAAGCCTCCTATTTATAGGATTGAAAAATTGTAAAACTCCCAAAAGTCATAAATATTTTTTAAGTTTTAGAATATAAATGTGGAGAATAACATATAAAAATATCTCCTTTCATTTAATTAAAAAAACTCCAACAATCCCCCACATGAATAGAGAATTTTAGAAAACTCTTTAAAACCATGCAACCTTTGTGATTCAACTATGAAGAATTAATCGCATCTGGATAAGTAGGTTTCCCTTTGAACTTTCCATAGTGGATTTAAATCGGATATACTCACCAATCGGTAGATGTGATATCTTTGAACCGTCGGTTTTTTATGTATACCAAGACAATCTAAACCACACAATTAATTCTTAACCGTCTTTGGTTCTCACTGTTGTGTTCGTTTCAGCCATGAACACCTGTCTGGTTTCATGAAAGCGTAGAGAACTGGCCAACCATTATTCTCCTTGAAGCGGCCCACACTTCACTTTCACATAGGTGGTTTCCTAAGCGTGTCATCTCTAAAGATACACTATTTGATCATTTCAAATTTAGGAACCATTAAAAATTTCTTAGCTTTTAAGTCTTCTAACTTAAAGCCGTATAATTTACCATTTTCCATAGAACATTGTCTCATCATGAGAATGAGTTGGATTATATTTGACAATGTTGAACCGTTA